GACATCAGTAGGTTTTGTCATTCCTACATTCAGGTGTAATATATTCAGCCAGGGTGTTAATCCTCACTGTAAGTGCCTCCACGTGTTCGTTTATCGCCAGACATGAAAGGCTCCCTGGCAGGTTATGTATGTCGATGTATGTTCCCCTATTGAGAGCTGGGGTATAAAGCTTCCAGGTAATCTGTGGCTGCACTACAGCCCACTACCCTCGTCAGGCTATACAATAATTACTGTATGGTGGATTTACTTCCTGCCAAGTACAGGGGGTTCAAGGGTCAATATATCAAGACATTATCGCGCTGGTTGAATATATTAGCATGTAATCAGCTGAGGATAACAACCAACTTCACACAGTGTTTATGGACTCGGCTGACCCAGTCATCTTAGGCGTGCACTTTGATGTGCAGGTTTGAATCCATAGGTGGAAAGGCAACCAACGTGTGTAATAATGGGTTGAGGAGTTGTCCGTCATGTTTTTAGACTGTGTCCATCATACCTGTGCTTCCAAAGTGGTAAACGTTGAGATATCCTCCATCACGTTCTCGATATGTCACGCCGAGATATAGCCGAAAAGTTTCATAAATGATGTTAAACTCATTACTCACTCGCATAAGGCGAAATGTAATCGTTTGATCCTGATGGAATGTGGTATTGTATTGTTTATGTACCTTAGGTATTAGGTGTAAATTCTTAAACACATGTTGGACACATCTATGGACTGTGCACAGTTGCGTCTGACCGCCTCCGTGGTGTAGTGGTGAGAGCGTCCGCCCGGAGAGTGGAAGGTCGCGGGTTCGATCCCCGACAGCGTCATACCAAAAAGACGTTAAAATATGGTACTTGTTGGTCCCTGCCTGGAGCTCGGCATTAATGGGTACAACAAGGACTGGTCGGCTCGGAGTATAATGTGTCTGGGTGGGGTATTCATGCTTCACTGCGGCATGGTATCTCAGTGGGCTAGCACTATTAAAAAAACAGCTTAAGTCTGGGCTAGTACAAGCAGCCGCACATACACATACACACGCATGTACGTCGTCATATGAGCGAAATATTCTCAAGCACGAAGTTAAACCCAATTCCACCTCACCACCACAGTTGCGTCGTCCCTTGTGCGCACCCGGAACCTATGAATATACGTTCGAATCTCGGTTCGATCCAAGCTTGTAAGTTTGTCAGCAACATACCAACGCTCGGTACCAAGGTGATAAATGTCTCAGACTTGTCACTTTGCGTGGGGTTTCCTCCCATATTAAACTGGTACCCCATTATAATTCTGATTACTGTTCGGCTTCAAACACACCTCACTCACTCGCTAAATACTTCTGCGTATAACGTCATAAAGTGTCAAGTACTGCTATAACGTCATAAAGTGTCAAGTACTGCTATAACGTCACAAAGTGTCAAGTACTGCTAGAACGTAATCACCAATATTTTCAGGCATGGCCAGTATTCCAGTGATAGCATCAACACCGTCTCCGGAGCCGAAGAAACGACATCAGCCAACAGAGACACAACTCCCGTCCTTCAGTTACGGGGCAGTGTTTGACGAGTACAGACAGAGAGATCTGATGGTGGACGCAGAGCCAGGCTCATATGAGGCGATGAAGGGGGTGGCGTATTTGAGGGTAAATGACGAGAAGTATAAACCAGGGAATTCTGAATCTCGGCGCCGAGAGAAAAAACTAACAACATGGAACCAGCGATAGTGAGGACTGTCCTGCTTAATTAAAGAACCGGAGCGTGTGTGTGCACTTGTTTGTGCACGTGTGTGTCAGTGTACCATACGATCGTTGATACGTCCATATGAATATTCATCCATGCATATGAGAGACTGCAGGATATACTACAAGTATCTTATTTCAACAGTTTAATTTTAATATTTTTTAAGATGCTTTGTTTAACATTAAGTTCTGCCTTAGCTTTTGTTTATTTTTCTGATTTTTTTCAATAGTGCATGCAGGTCTGTATCACTGTAAATGTTTGGAAACAAGTATGTTGAACAGAAATCGTATGTAGGTGACGAAAATAACTCTTGCACCGGTGATCGCCAGTTGCTTTTTAGATGTGGAGAACATTTAGGCATTTTAGTTTTCAACTTTTTTGCCTGTTGTTTTATCAATATGACATTTTGTTGAACATGAGAGCTGTAAGTACATAGTTGTTAGTTATAGCTAAAGCATAACGTTTTAAACAAATCTTAAATGAGTTTCATTCAGGTACGTTATGTACCTCAGTACGTGTTCAACACAAGCAACTTACAAATTAACTGCGTTGTTCCAGCATTATTCAAAACGTGCAAAACAAATGGGTTTTTTAGTTGGGCTACAGACGATATTTTATGAGATTGATAATTCATGAATTCAAATTGTACCGAGGATATTCCTGATAGCCACTGTTAATGGTGCACATGAAGGTTTGTTTTTAACCCTCTGTCTTACCTCAATATGACCAAAGGCGACCTGAAATAAACCAGGATTTCCATTGAACGAAGTTAGTGGAGTGACACTATGTCATTAGTAAGCCTACGTCACAGACTGTTCAGCTAAATATGTAACACGGTCACAGTCTGTCCGCAGTGATTGACAATGAACAAAAGACGTAAAATAAATGATAATGCAAGCTCCTGCAATGCCTAATTACAGATTTGTGTGAAAAATTCCTTACTTAATATTTGCTATATTTTTGCAGAATGTTTAGACACAGTTTTGTAATAAATAAGAGAAAACTGTGACACACATCACGATGTCAATAAAATAATACATTGTTTGAGCGTATGTTTTATGTGTATGGATACTTAACGTGCGTGATGTATTGTGTCCATGAAACACATTCCTGGAAGCAAATCATAATAATCCTCAACATCAGAGGTTGTAGTGACTTGTGCAACCTGTATCTCTGTATCATGTTATAGTGCTTGTATATTTCGCCTATGTCAAGAAACAGAGACTCTATCCATTATGGCGAAATGGGCCTCCCAGTATCTACATAGTTTCACCAGATACTCCATATACTGTATTAGCAGGTACATTTTACACATATTGAACGTGTTGGTTAAATACTGCAAATGTTCGAGATTTAGAGACATGCTTATAATGAAATGTGTTTCACTAGTGATTGTACGTACGCTTCTTTGTTTCATGACATATGTTGTGCTGATATTTGTCGGCGATTGTCTTCAGTTTGTATTTACTCACGAGGAAACAAGACACAAGCGACAAAAGTTAAACGTTGATGAGGACTTTTCAGAAGAATGTCAAACCTTCATAAATTATTACTTGTTTACTTATTTACAACGCTGTGACGTTGGTCGTCCCAAAAAAACATTACTGGGTACGTTGATATGGATTGTCACTGTTTAGCATATCCCCTACCATTTCATGGACATGTTTTACTACGATATGAAGACAAATACATTTTGAACATTTAGATGTTTAAATCCGAAATAGGAATATTCAAAACAAAAATGTCTGTACAATTCTAAACAGTTTTTGTTAAGAGCAAAACATGACAAATACGGGTTTGGTGTCATTAACGACAAGCATTAATGGGAGGTAACTCGTACCGTCTTAGAAGTACATGAAGACACACCACGAGTATTATTATCAATATTGGGTCCCAGCAATCAACATTGTTTTTAATGATACAGTACAATGAAGATTTCTGCAAACTTCCAGAATGATTATATCGTGTTCAAAGATATTCAGAGACTGTAGTTTCAAATGATGTGGGCATCACCGGTGTTGATATAGCCTAGTGGTTCATGTCACGCCGAAGACCCGGGTTCGAACACTGGGCACAATGTGTCATGTGATATTGCAGTGGCGTAAAACTAAACTCGGGTATAGTCAGTCATGGGCAGGAGCAACAAGTTATGTAACATGTGTTCTCGGGTATATAACTTTACCATGTCACCAGACCATGTACAATGTATAATACAATATAAAAGGAATGGTATGCATAATGACTGGAGCATATTTATAAATATTTACAATAATAATGCACTAAGTCGCATAAACGTTTCCTTAATATTATAATTTACATACATATGTAAATAATTACTATTTTCATTTGGAAGGCGTATGAGAGAACTTTTACCTTTACAATTAATTTAACATATATTTTGTTCTTACATTATTATAAAGTGGGCAAATAAACATAAAATGAACCTCATCTTCTAAAATCTTATTACAAAATCTTAATTCTCTTCGGACATTATTTCTTCTTTCTGCATTCTTCATGATATTCAATTCACCTAATCTTAAATGTGATAAAAATCTTATATAAAGTTGAAAAATATGATTCCATTTTAAACGCACTTTTGACACATGAATAAAACTCTAAGTTAGAATGTTCATTTAACACAGAAAATATACACTGGATGTTACAATCTTTAACTCGTTGAGACAACTGCTTAACAAATAAATCAGTTTTAATAATATTTTGAAAATCCCACGCATAACTAAAATGATAAATATAAATTAATTTCCTCAGTTCAGTAACCCATGACTTGCGGTTATTATCGTCCATGTCAACAGCTGCACTGTTGTGTTAATACCAAGAACATATTTACAGTATTTTACATGAAATCTTTCTAGCATTATCCACTCACGAAACCCCCGTATTTCTGAGCCATATGATAAGATATAGGCTTAATTTGTGTATCAAACATTTGAAATAAGACATTGGGAGAAAGATTTTTAAATTAGCTTTATGAACGAGAGTCTGGACTGCTTTTGACCAAGATACTCAGCTGGAAAATAAAATACCCAAATAGCTGTAATAGTTTGTAGTTTTCAAGTTCATATAGTTAAACATCCATTTTTCGGTTTTCGGGTAAGTGTATATTGTTACTTCAGTGATTCGATTCAAAGATCAGTACTAATTAGCGTAAATAGAAAATCCTCAAATCATTCAGCAACAGGCATACCTGCGAATGTCTACAATAAGAATATGGTTGGCACACACATCAAACAGAATGCAATCAATAAGTTACTTCATGACTATCCGACAACTATCTGTCCTTCCTCTTCCTCCTCCTCTTTTCTTTCACTCACTTCCTCTTTCTCCTCACCCTCTTGCTTATTTATTGGTTGTTTTAGTTCTTCAAAGTTCAAATTCAACAGCGGCATCGTCAGACTCTTTACTTTTGTGTTACCTATAAATTTATCATTTTCCAAATCCGGCGTGCCAGGCAATGACGGTGGCTCGTCTTTAGTCGACTGTTCCACGTTAACCTGCATTTTGTGGGCATAATAGTCAAAAGATTTGTCAAGATACGTGTTCTCAAAAGCTTCCGTTGAATCACAGAACTCTTTTACCTTTGGGGAGAGATCGACAGATCTTGCTTCGTCAAGAAATATTTCCTGGAAATTTGTCTTTTTTACCTCCTCAAACATAGATCCCCGTCTTGACCTCCTGGAGGATCTCCCTTCGCTTGTAGTAAGACTTTCGCGTCGGGAACTTCCGGTTGATTCCGGAAACGTACCGGAAACTATTCGGGGTATGTTCTGAGCAAAACTGACCCTGGACGGTCGTCTTTCCGCGCTTTTTGAAGGAAATTCCAGTACGGGATTTTCACTTGTGGTATTTTTAGTTTCAATAGATATGTTTGCCACAAACGTATTTATCTTTTCGTCAACAGTTTCCCCATTGACACTGGGTAAAATCAGAAACTCTTTTTCTACTTGCGTGCCCGCGGCAGTAGCCGGCCTAAGGGGAAGTGATGTAGGCGGAGTCCGAATCCTACCGCTGTGGGGACGGGAGTTATCTCCCCTTATCGGTACAAACCTCCCCGATGCCGACTGGCTTCGTATTTGTTGGGATGATTGTTCTTTCATAACCTGCTGGATTATTTCCTCAATGTCCCTGTCAGAGGTGGCTTTCTTCGACAGCGGGTGTGACCTTGTGGTTCTGGGTTCATCCACAGAACAAGGCCGGTACTCCAGCTTCTTCAAAAACTCGTAGTCTCCCTCACTTTCTCCACAGTTTGTGTTGAGTCCATGTAGATGTAATGCTCTGAGCTCCCGCACACGGGCTTTATCTTCCATCATTTGAGCATAGCCGAGTTTGGATCTATGCAGCTTCATTTGGAATCTCCTGAACATGACCTTCTGATCAATGGCGATTCTATGCACTAAGCCCTTCTCCGATCTATTCAGAATGTGCAGCTTCTTCTGGAGGAGCATGTGTTCCTTCCAGTTCGCTGACTGGACATTTGGAGACCGCTCGGAATTTTCCGGTGCTCTATTAGAAGCTTCTTGTGGAGGAGAGTTAACTTTGATCATGATGGCGTGTTTAGATTCAACTTCTGTCCAAGCAAAGATGGTCGCGTAGCGTACTGTGCGTTGAAGGCTGTTCTATTCTGTGATGTGAATACGTGTTGTTGACGGCAACTTAAACGTGAAACAGTATCATCACATCTTTCATATCACCTTTCATCTTGATAGTTACAGCTGAGCATAAGACCTTTCCTTGAAGTCCAACTTACCATTCATTGGTGATGTGACACCTGAAAACAAAAGGACATTCATGTACAAATATATTAATATGAAATATACTTAATTTATCATCGCATATGAGTATAAAATGAACGACCCATACAAAATACAAGTCATAATATTTAATATGTAATCATAGAAAATATTGTGTTTGTGATGACAGTGGTATGTTTATCGTTCTTTCAGTGGAATGGAATTAGAAAAAATATCAGTATCTAAGAAACACCATTCTCCCGGACAGCCTCGTTCCCAGTGAACTGTTTAGGGGTTGACCAATCACAGGCCGAGATCAGTATCTTCACATCTTACTGATGATGAAAGCTAGTGTTCGGACAAATGAGGTTTTGCTGTAAACGATATTATCTTTCATGTCAAATCAGTAAGACATCAACATTCCTTCACTAACTAAGCCGATGAAGTGTCGATCTTGATATCATGTTTCCACAGAACGAAAAACGTATTATCTCCTTAAATCGATTGATATTCAAAGATGACCTTTGTCAATATATTAAAAAATTAATGGATAGTATGCGATTTGGTTTCATAGGTTTGGATATTTTTCTCCTAGGGTTTTGGATGTTTTGGATGAATTGCTGAATTCCCCTCAATTAAATCTCAGAGGTAATGTCAGTTTTGTCATACATTTCCTCTCACGATGCTTCTGGTATACTAGAAACGAAAGAAATTGGCGTCTTTCCTATGAAACTTAAAACACTAGCATGATGTCAAGGTGAAGGGCTATGTTTTTAATTTTTAAAAACCATATTCCCAGAAAAAGTTTGAATGACTAGTAGAATAAGAATAATTCTGCCAAGAAAAATACATTGAATCAACATTGATTATAAATAATTATTGAGGCTCATTGTTATAATTCAAAACATCTAGTTTTGCATCTGTAGGTGGAAAGCGTTTTGGTCATCTTGCAAAATCTGATTTATACCATTGATACTTCACAAGAAATACATCTAGAAAGGACGAAGTTTGCTTCATAATGGTAAGTTACAGAAAGGTTTACCATTTGATTGTGTCAGGTATTTCGTTGAGCGAAACACCCAGTACATGTTTGTGTTCCTGCAGGAAAACATATATATAATATATATAATTTTGATAGAAACTGATAATTATATTAAATTGAACAGGCGTCCACGTGAGATAGGTGAGTCGGGTGCTGAGAGAGTGAGTGAGTTTAGTTTTAAGCCGAACTGAGCAATATTCCAGCTATATGGCGGCGGGCTTTAAATAATCGAGTCTGGACCAGACAATCCAGTGACCATAATCATGGGCATCGATTTGGAATTCGGATACATGTGTCGACCAAGTCAGCGAGCCTGACCACCCGATCCTATTACGACTAACATGGGTTACTGAATACCAATAAAACCCTGATCTTCACGGGTAGACCTTAGAGAAATGTATAGACATCCTTAATAATGTGGTTCAGGGACTGTGAACGGTCTCACAATACCAACAAACAAAGCACGTGTTGCCGATAGGGAAACAAGTTCATTACTATCGTGTGACGTAGCATATCTATCTGCCCGAGTGACCTGATTTATTTACTCCAGCCCTTGAGGATAGACATTAAACTATCTACACTATCCAGTGACCATCTGTATGTAAGAATACATAATCAGTCGATGATGTGGGCAGTATTTTGATATTTTTATCTTTAACAACACAATAAAGATCTCCATCGAATGCCATTGGTCCTGAAATATTCATTCTTTCTTCGCGAACCGATAACAGAACGAGGTTGTAAGGTTTGTCTAATGTCCTGAGAATTTCAATTTTGCAAAGAACCTATCAGTCTATCAGCAACAACAGGAGGTAACATTCTTATATCTACATACTCAACATTCATCGCTACCCCTTGGAGGACAATATATTACAAAAGATATGTATGTGATCGTTGTACTTACCAAGGTAATGATTATGTCCACTTTTACAACCCTTGTCTGTTGAGCAAGGGTTACACGTTTGGATAACTTACCACTTCACCATGGAACACGCCCAGATATTAAACAAACATGTAAATACATTTGTACCCCTGAAAAACATATAGTTTCATTGTAAGGCTTTCGGGAATGTTTGGACAGAAACTGGCCTCTTTGCTCTGACATCGTGATATGTACAAAATAAAGTTTCACACCAGGGTTCGCGGATATTCTGTCCGAGCTACTCCACGGCGTAATGACGTATACATCTATGTTAAACGTGACGTCAATAATGACAGAATGAGACGTGAGTTTGATATCTATTTGCACAAACTAATATCAACACACGGCTATTGAAATAGGTAATATAATGCAAGTACATCCAATCACTGAACAGTGGTGTAGTTTTGCTTTGTAGCCCAAATGCTGTATTAAATTTGTAAAATACTTATGAAGTCTTGTTAAACTGATCCATGTCCAAAGATTTAGCGTTATTTACGTTGGCTTGAAATTTAGGCAGAATTCTGTCTGGAAATGAATGTAGCAATACAACATACCTGTTCTTGGAGGAAACAGACGCTGACTCACAGATGTGACATGTTCCTACTGACCTAACAGGGTTGATACAACAAACCATGGTGCTATGAAACAAGGATAATAAATCATTCATTGAAATTAATATGCAATTAGTATTTAACCCGTCTTATGCTTAATAATGACAACGAACAGAATGTTTTAAACTCCGAGCAATAATTTTTTTATATCCTTTTCCATCTTCAAGCATTTCGTTGAAACATATTTTTCTAATCATATTTAGCAGTAAACGTGTTTGTAGTGTTAGAAATAAGATTGTTAAAGGGTTAATGTAAATCATGAAACGATATGTCTGACGCCTCCCCGTCCATTCATATCGCCGCCTGACAAAAGGCAATGTAACATTTTGGCCCAACAAACACTGGAGCCTTTATTCCAGTAGAACATCGATAAGATAGCACCACTACTTCGCTATTAATCCTGGAATACACAGGTGCATAATCTGATACGATGTTATAATTCAAGATACCTTTACCTAAAGCTATCTACACCAGTAACTCGATATGGATGTAATGGCATTTTGTGCAATATGACTGTGCAATATTTTCGAAAATCCAGAAAGCTGACTTGCTGACGTCTGATTGAGAAACGAAAGCAAGAATTATTTGTTGATTGTTTTCCTATTAAATAGATATGGGGACCCAGTAGACAAATATATACACATGGGAAAAAGTATTGCAACACCTATGAATTTTCCTTCCATGTAGCCATTTATATCGATATATATGTTTGCTTGTATTATTTTTACTCTTCGGGCGCACCATACAAAGGTGACATCACGTGCATTAAGCAACTATCAAAATTCAGTAAACTGTTCTTACAGCTCGATAACTTGGAAAACCAAATCATTTCGTTGTTGACAAGCAAGTAGGGATCCACCTCAACTGTCAACTCCTTCAAAGATGGCAAGTTATTGATAATAGGAATACTGGGATGTCATTAAGGGCTATTGCAAATATTGATACAAAAATATATATGGGATATTGCGATACTTTTGTCTATGTGTATATCATTTCTTAAATTGTTCTTCCCTCATTTGTTAGCACAGCTTATCGACGTGAATTATTGAGTTTTCGCCTTCCAGTGCAGCGTTTAGATTTCCTCATGGCGCCCCAGCTCAATGAGGGAGGAACGTCTGCAGTCATGATGGTGGTAAATGTTTGTCACTGTGGTGCATGGTACTGCGACATCCTGGACTCATAGGGTTCTGGCACGTCTGACACTAAGAAGCGATATACAGCACCTCTGAGGACTGGGTGTATTACACGTAGCCTGGTGCTATTACAGGACAGATGTGATTATTGTTCAGATCTTAGATATAATCTTTGGAAAGAAATAACCAGTGCCCATCCTTTATTCCCATCTATGTCAGCAGTAGACACAACGGTATTCTTACTTACTAATAATCAGTTTATAACGCCCCTTGCCGCACTCCTCCATGCTGTTTCGTCGACGAAATACCTCGGTAGAATAGTATATTCTATTCCTATCAATGTTAGCATTCATCTACCACCATGTTTGATATTTATATATTTTACGCTTGTTAATGTATGGAAATGAAAGAGCGCGCGCGCGCGCGTTTGTGTGTGTACGTGTGTGTGTGTTGGTGTCATTTTATTATCAATGTTTATAGCTGTGATACTTGTGTAAAAAGGCCATATTCCCGGATGCTGATATTAAACAAAGATTTTTGGGTAACGAAATGTCTTAGGTCTTTTGTTGCACCTCAGCATGTGACACAGAAATAAACTATATTTCTTCTTCTTCAAGAAGGTATCGTAGAGTAAATCTATTAATATTTTGGTTTTGTTTGCAATATTTTCCTTCCATTTACATCATCGACATCAAACCTGTCATCATTCGGGAGGTGGCAATGCAAAGTTTCTGATAAGAATGAAATATTTTTAACAAAAGTGAAATATATAACTGAGGAACACAAAATTTCAAAAATAGTTTATTGCACTCACTGAGACGAATGCCAATATGTATGTACAGGAGAACATGAAACCACAAAGATCAGTCTACACTTGCTGTATATCTATAATGGCAATGTAGCGCACAAATGTCCTCGGCCTGAACACATGTAAATGAGGTAATGGAAAGTGTGGTAGGAAAATACAACCTGAATATCAAAACATCACATTGCTGCATCAAAACTGTTGCAGGAATAATCAACATTTACTCCAATGGCCTGGTTAGAGTTCCTTATAAATATTATTACAATTCTTCGGTATCCGTAAGACAATCTGCAGCGTTCTGCGGTAGATTTATAACTTAAAACGTTAGCACTATTTATCCTTGTATTCAAACCCTTTGTTTCTCCAATATCTGTATATATAGTGGATCCTGTTCCGCAGTCATCAAGTTTTATTTTGTTCGACTTTCGAGATGATAAATCAATGAAACGTTCAAATGCATTTTTGTATCACTCACACATGCAAACACACATTATATACAAGTTTTTCTTTGTCAAGTTTTGACCAATCACATTGCACGCCGCTGCATTGTTTTCTCGGACGTCCGCGCGAACACATAGTTCAAGGACGGAAGTTTCACTGGCGTCAATAACAACGCCAACGGCAACACGATCCTTTCTTATTTGCATAGTATAGAAGTTCTCTGACATTTCACACATCACATTTTCATATCCAGGTCACATAGGTAGTTCTTTGAAATGTCACACCAGTTCTGTTTTCCTGCAAGTCTTCTGGGTTTTCGGAATCGTTATGTCTATGTGCAGCTGCTGATGCTAACGTACAGAACATATCGGTTGTATCGTGCTCATTTATTTCTATCTGTTCATAGTCTGGAGGACTGCAGTCTTTACGTGGGTCGTCTTCCATATAGGGTGGCAGTTGCACGCCGTATGGTGGGCTGTAGGTGTCTAAATCAGATGCTGAGAAATACCGACGCATCCTCCGAGACTGAAACAGTAAACGGACGATTAGTATTTGAAAACATGTACGTACATCTGACGTATCACTTGCCACAATCATCAACATTAATTTATTCATCGTGTACGTTTTATAACATAATACTACTTCTAAAAGTATAAAATGTGATACATTAATATTAAAATCGGTCCTGTTGAAGGCGATCGAAGAGCTTGTCTGCTTTGTTGTATCGGATATCGACAAAAGGCGCCACGATAAACACTGCCAATCAATTAATCGACCAATATTTTCTCAATAATTGAAATAATTTGAGGTCTGATACATCATAGTTATCGCATGTACTAAATTTCATGTAATTTCTTACCCGTGGTTTGTACAGAAAATCATACGTTCCTCTCCCTTCAGAGAGTTCCTGATATTGGGACACCACACAAGCAAAACAGTAACACTGAAAAATAGATAACGAACAGATGAGCTGCGGCAAAGGTTGCGCATTACCATCACAAAATAATCTCATAATGCTATTTTTTCACATAATCGAATGGGATTTTAATGCGATAGTCTTGCAGTTGATGCATAACATTGTCAAACAAACTTGGGTTTCCTACACGGTGTATGAGACCTGGTGGAACATATCTTAGATATTACCACAGATGGCTTTAAAACACACCCACTTCCTAACTGAATTCATACTACGCATTACATAGAACGTTATGAATATTAGATATGTTTCTCTGATATTTCTGAAACGACGAGCGTGTGTAAGGTTGTATTACTTACATTTGCAACCAGGCGGAAGCAGTAAAAACATACAGATATAATCTCCCACGTTTGCAGAGTCTGCAAGACAATAAGAAAATAATTGCTTTACAAATAACATCAATGGGTTACTGTGAAGTCATGTTTTAAAAAGAGTCTTTGAAGTGTGCAGAATACCAGCTCCTGATATGTTTGGACGAAACCTATAAGTGCTGAACTGCACAATTTTCCTGACAATATAATGACAAATGACGCGAGGAAGGCTATAAATGTCGAAGTACTTCGTGCCACGTGCAGTAAATCCTTACACAAGAGATTCAGCCTGTAGCAACATTTACCCGTACCTAACAGCTTGTACGGTACACAGTTGACATAAGTCATGATAACCAAGTCAATTTAATGGTTTATTACACTCAGTCCATAAATAGAGTGCTCTATGTTGACGTACAGCATATACCCAGCTCACCTTTTCATTCTCTAAGTGTACCGTTGTTAGGAGAGCAATGGCTCCCGTCTCATACAACACCGTTACCACCAACACGTATATCCATGGCAACAACAGGTACTTTTTGTCCTGAAATAGAAACGTTGGTAATCAGTGTGGCTGCTGATATCAATCATCAAAGACGTCGTCGAAAATGGTATCACGTACACAAAAGAAACGATTGTCGTAACGTATATGCATTTTTTCAGAGACATAAATAAGCAATTGTTAAAATCCAACCACCAGTGTCAGGAAGTATAGACAACAGAAGAAACGGCACCTTGTGTCGTAACGAAGGGTGCCGGTAAGAGATTCCTTTCAGCCACACAATCAATCGCGTCTAATAACAACCCAGCCAGATGGATTATTTCTGGTCCTGTGTGTAAACAAACGTCAATACTGATGTGTCTATTACGTGTTTCTTTCAAATGCGGGCATGGCTGTCATTCCTAATATACAGTGTATATGTCGATATCTGCTACGTGTACAAAGACGTCACCATTACGATACTCCTGGGTCGACTGACACCAAGACTGTTTCATCGAAACAAAATATTGTTTTCCATCGTTCGACCCCAGAACTGCTTTCCCCATAATGTATTATCAGTTTGATGCTTTTTCTGCGTTGCAGTCTGACTAACCGTATCCATTGAAAAACAAATTCTTCGTAAAACGATCGGAAAACCTATTACCCATCACTACCGTCCAAATATTGTATTACCATGTAATTCGCGTCTGTTCCATATAACTTCAGCACAATGGACAGTGGTGTATACAAGAAGACACAACATTTATTCACGTGCCTTGGTGTATTTATTTTCCTTACATTTTAAATTGTGTTCCGGAAAACCAAAATATCCAGGTGTCAGATGAACTACCTTAATACGTTAATCCGAAGTAATGATATTTGCCTGACAAGTCTTATTTTCAGTTTCTCACAATATTTCTTGCACAAACACAGTGTCTTCTTACAGAGGTATTGTTCAGGTGTGGAAGCTTTGTTCGCGAAAATATGTGGGGATGTTTTGTTTTGTATCGCACACGTGTATGGAAAAACAAGGACAAAGGTAACTACCCAGTCCGACCCACCGACGGTGTTTGAACTCTCACACGAAGCCTTCCTCACCTGCCTCACGCTTATCGGTTTATCTGTAATCCCCTGGCATTTCTTGGAACTTGAGAACTCATGGCTACTATGACCGGGTGCAAGTGCTGTGTGGTGGTATTTCTTTACGACAGAAATGTAAATATTATCTGATGTGATTATACCGTAAACTGTGCCTCCAAATGGGTGAAAGTGACGTACCATGTGGCTGTCAGGTGCACCCAAGGCGTTAAGAACGCGGTCTGTACTACGCTAATGGGGCGTCCGGGCACTCTGACATTAGTTAAATGTCATTACAGCCGACTAAATCTTCAGGTTAAACATTTCTCTCACAGCCTTCGCTCTGTTCATACACTGTACTAACGTTGGGTCAGTGAGTACACTAACTAACTTTTGACGTGGTCACATTGAAAAAATGAGCAATCGGTCAGTATAGTGCAATGTACTGAGTACTGACTCCTCAAAACTACTCCTGTAATGGTTTTTCAACAGAGTTTCTTTCACTCTTCAAAACGTTGTAAACGCCCTCTGTAGACGTGTTTCTGTGACCAAATATTGTCATGTTCATCCGCCCAGAATTAAAATTGTGTAGACTGACTTCACGATGGTACACCAGAATAGCTGTTATTGCTGTGAATAGTTCACCAAGAAAATACTACTCAGGGGCATTGTGAAATTACCCAATAAGGGTTTTCTTATTCTTCGAGGTCGTTATGGATATAATGCGGGACGTCAATCGAATTCCTAGACAAAAATGTAGACTTTTATTATTACGTAATACATGTTCCTCCTGTAAAAGACGTTGGCCTGATGCTGGTAAAACTGGCTAGGCTTGCATGTTTATGATATAGGTTAGTTTTAGTTTTTTATAAAATACATATATTCCATAGTCAAGGTAGAGGACTTTTGAACGCCAGATGAAACAGGGTGAAAATATGACTGAAATTCGAGGAAAAATGAGTCACGAGTTCAGCTGAAATACCACATACTTGGCATAATAGGCTTTTTTATGAAACATGGGATTTGTCAAGAGCCTGCCGATTAGAAGAAGCTATCAGACCACATTTCGCTGCCGTGTCATAACCCAGGGCCATAATTTACCTCATTCCTCAAACTGTCTACAGCAATGACGCTTCATTGCTTATCTTCCGGACGTATCTCAAGGAACAGATTAGTATCAATACTCCAAATAGTCCCCATTTGTAAGTCGGGGCTCAGTGGAGACCGGTCAAGCTAGGGCTCTTTGTTTACAAACGGGTTAAGGTTTCTACCCTAAGCTGCTTATTCTTGAAAGTTTCAACTAATTAGTTACCGGTCATGTAGGGTCGGGAAATAAGCCTTTGGTGGTCTGAGTCAATCTTGATGGTATGATAACTGAATAAACCGACTGAAATGTTAACGCATGCGCTGATCTTTTGACCAGAGTTCTATAGGTATGATGTTATCTGTTAACAATTGTTCCACATACAATGAGAACTTGATTCATGGTTGATCGTTTATACTGATTATATTTCAAAAGTATTCGAGTAAATTAGTTATGAATGAAGTAGCTGTAGTCGGCTGGAGGTTGATTCATAAAACAACAATAGATGAGGCTGCAAACCAAGCTGAAATCTTTGGAGTCTTTCCAGTTTTGTTTTACTTTTCATTCGTTTAACCATCAAAGTTTGTACGTCGTGAAAACGAAATGTACTTTAAAACGATGTTTTCATTTCTTATGGCACTGTTGAATGCATACTTATGCAAACAACTGAAAATAGTGATCATATACTTGCGTGTCTTTGTTTAATATTTCACTGGACAGAATATGTATTAGTTGCTAGTGTCGTCTTACCATATACACTCCTGGTAGCAGGACCAGGGAGACTGCGATCATCAGAGAATACAGGACGAATCCGGCATACACAATGCCTCGAAATTCTGAAATACAACATGTACGTCATGTTAAACGGTGGGAACAGTTAGGAGCTGTGGTTCACATAATTCATCGTTTGTTAATCCACCACCATGCACTTGCATCGCCTCTGTACGTGCTGGTCTTAAAGCGATAATAACACCCTTGTTTTTCATTTAATATACACTTACTCGTCTATAACTATACTGAGTACTATTGTCTATCATATACACATACCTATATTGCATCTACAAAGCATTTCCCAGTACATTATGATTAGTGGGTTACTTGCAGTACAGAAGGATAACAATACCTTTAGTCACATGCGTTCAAACGTCACAGGTCTCTCTGTTTAAAGCATGGACACATGTTGTGTTTCATGCACATATAATAACATACGAATAACAAACACACTGATCATTGTAATATATATGATTCATCGATTGCTGTAAATTGTAAACTGTCTTAGTTATGTCTTATTAGTGTCAGCCACTGAATTCTATAGCACTGCCAGTGCATCATTACTTATAGAGATATCCCGACCAGTCTTCCAGACTGAAACAGTGATACACTTACATCTCATATGCATAATGCATGAACCTAAGAAGCTGTGAATCTTTCCTGGTGCAATATAGCGAACGCAATTACTCAATACATGCATTAGTTTGTCGTGGGACAGTGCTTATAGCGGGTCAGGACAAATGTCATGGAATTCTTGAGATGAAACACAAATGTCTTTCATGTGTATGAAACCGTGTATGTGGTTTTAGTGTCATACCGTACTGTGGTTTTAGTGTCATACCGTACTGTGGTTTTAGTTTCATACCGTACTGTGGTTTTAAAGTAATAAAACTCAATATGCTGGAAACAATCCGAAGATGACCTCAATTCGAGATAAAAATCATATTTTCACAACTACTTAATACCAGGTTGTGGTGACGCCGTCATAAAGTTTACGATAAAAGAAAGTGAGGTATGAGTCGTCTTTGTCCAATGCACAACAGAGATACTGTCAGCGCCCGGGGGAACAATTACGTCGAGATCTTAGGGCCTGTTTCTTCGAGTTACCAAGTGGATGACGACGAGCAAGTTTCTACCCCTTGCCCCGACCTTCACAAAATAATATCTAAGTACAGGGGAACTAGACATGCTACTTTTATTTCATATATCGATTCCGCATTCTCCGACGACGTGTTTGAAACGTTTTATCACCTAAATCACGCAGTCGTATTCCGTTTGATTCTTTGCACGTTGCCTTAATTTATACGAGGACCCTCAGGTTTATTAGTCAACTTCAAAGTAAGTTCACTGAATCCATATCAAATCGGTATATATGCACTTTCTACAAGAGGTGGCCAGTTCAGCATGGTAGAAGGTAATGCGTCGATATCAGTTTCAATATCAATATTTCTCATCACTAAACTATTGATCCGTTTGATAGATGAACTCCACAGAAAATCACTGAAATGTTCAACTCATTTAGGAATACTACATTTCACGATTGACTGTCACTGAAGACGCGTTTGGCCCAAGGACAATAGCCATAGTCGTCCCATAAATCACTCCCCGGACATCTACTGAATCAGGAAATCTGTACTTGTACCTAATATATTGGGGATTTTTCACATCCAAGGAAGGGAATACAATCATGACATTATTGCAACTGTTGGATATTATTGAACTGTTGCAATGCTCGTACTTTCTAACAAGTGATAATATGTACTAGACTACTGTCTAAGCCTTTTATGTGTGCCTATACCTCACTAATGGCATTAATATAGAATGTTTAAGTTGTAATAAGGATACTAGAGAGATCATACTTACCCATGGAAGCACTTATTGCATCAAGGCCGATGTATCGGAACAAGTAAAAGGCCAAACACATCACAGATATCACCTGAAATACATAAATATTATTTGTAATTTTCCCCTAATACATTACGTAAAAGAGATGTTTCGAATAAATACAGTGGTACTACACATACAACAGTTTCCATCCGACGAGAAAATATAAAACTTCACTATGATTGTCAATTGACTGTCTATACATACATCTGAAAGCACTTCACTATGATTGTCAATTGACTGTCTATACATACATCTGAAAGCACTTCACTATGATTGTCAATTGACTGTCTATACATACATCTGAAAGCACTTCACTATGATTGATTGACTGTCTATACATGCACTTCACTATGATTGTCAATTGACTGTCTATACATACATCTGAAAGCACTTCACTATGATTGTCAATTGACTGTCTATACATACATCGGAAAGCACTTCACTATGATTGTCAATTGACTGTCTATACATACATCGGAAAGCACTTCACTATGATTGTCAATTGACTGTCTATACATACATCTGAAAGCACTTCACTATGATTGTCAATTGACTGTCTATACATACATCTGAAAGCACTCCACTATGGTTGTCAATTGACTGTCTAAACATACATCTGAAAGCACTCCACTATGGTTGTCAATTGACTGTCTATACATACATACATCTGAAAGCACTTCACTATGATTGTCAATTGACTGTCTATACATATATCTCAAACAGAGCTGTGACGATATATCGTAATATCGAAATCGTGCTATTTTATCTGACGATATATCGATACTTTTTTTCGTATCGTGATATGTATTGTTGACCTTAAAATTGTTAATTTTCACTAGATATTGACGCTTATGTCAAAATGTACATTGTTACTTGCTATCAAAATATACATTTTAAAGAAAATAACTAAAGATAGCATGTCGTGATTTGCATCGAATCGAAACGTATCGTTCGAAGATATCGTGGTACGTATAGAATCGTGAAATTTCTGTATCGTCACACCTCTAATCTCAAAACACATACAAAACGGCACACACACACACACACACACACACACACAACATTCATTCGTGAAAGCGGATTAGAGCAATCTGCTTATTACAATCGATGACTCTTCTTGCTTGTCACTTGGTTTTTGTGTACACGTGCTGGGGTTGTATTCAAACTCACATTTTAACGACATATAATCAGTTGCTTTAAACGGGATCTCATATCACACTAGTCAGCATGAACATACATCGACACTGATATCCAGTTAAGTGCATTATTAAAACTCTAACAGTTCAATATTAATGCTACCCATAACAAAAATGGACCACAAAACAACACTGGAATGAAGTAATCATTGAAAAGAAAACGATATCGGGAAATCAGCACTGAACCTTCGACTTCACCGGAGCATGGTCATCAAATATTAATATCCTGGTGTGATTATCAGGTGGAAATCTAGGCTAGATAACAGTAACGGAACGATAGAAGAAGCCAGCATTAGTGAGAACCGGTATGCCGTCCAAGAAAGCATGTGGTATCTCAAATGTATAATGGCAATTAAACCATTTTGTCCGTACAACAGTCTTGAGCATTTGACATAGATATTCAATATTTGATACAGAAACATGCTTTTCATTGATTGTCTTTCTACGATTGTGTTTTCAGTGTTATTTTAGGTTGGTGTCATTGTCTGTTGTTCAGTCCATGGATGGAACTCCGTAACCACAGATATGGGACCTGACTTTTCTACACATAGTACAGAATTCAGTTACGTCAAAAACTAAATATTATTCACACCGTTTTCAGTTTATGAAGACTGTTTACTTATGTTTGTTGACTGAGGTATGAATTGTACACCCAAGGGGTACAGTGTATGATTCTGTGTGGCAATAACACGTAAACAATTCAACTAGCCCGAACGCAGGAACACAACACCATCAATACTGAATACAACCCGTGCATTTAGTTAACCTTGAAGTTAATCACATATAGAGTTGTGAATGTCTCAAATACCTTAACATAAAGTGGGTGTAGTCTTTCAACCGTGTCTGCTTATTTCTTCAACACTTACACAGTTTACCAAGTCAAGCTAACTTATCCCGCTTAACTGCCGGTACTGACCACAGGCTTTGTCACCTGATCTCACATCAAGGTGTGTGGAGGAATACCTCACCTGGAAGTAATGGACAGGTATGTTGTATATACCTGTGGCGTTTCCAAACATTTGGTTCCAAAGTCTGTTTCCCTGTGGTGTCGGTTTATCATTGCGGATGAACATCGTGTCATTTTCAACTTTATTTAAGTTTGACTTCGGTTAACTTTAACCAAACATGTTAATCAAAAGAAATAATGATTCTGATATATTTTCATAAAAATGATCTACATTATTCGCAGTTTATTAACCTGATGACTGCGTCTAACTTGTGATATTTTACATGTAATAATTGGAGAACCCAGTTGTATCAACAATGTATACCTGCTTACATATTTCTATATGCATTGTATATACTCTGTACACTTGATTTGGGAACAATACAAATAAAAACAAAAACAAAAAAACTTTAGTCTAAGTATTTCTTATTGTGTGCGTACGAGTGTGGTCAGAATTATCTTAATGGGTGAATTTCGTGTATGTCGCAATTGAAATATGACTAAATACACATCAATGGTTATTGGCACAATTTGGGGAACATTTAAAAGTATTTGTATTCTTATACGTCCGTCGATAATATCAAACACCTTCGAGAGAGATAAATGTTAAATAACATAGCACCATGTAACCTAAAACATGGCTGTCCTCAGAAAAAGGTGTATGGCTGTAATCGAGATGAAAACCCATCGAAGTAATAGCCACCCTTGCAACGACCTCGTGACAAGACGTCCACAGGTGTCTAACGGCGTATTTACGTATGTCGTGCCTCCCCGAGAGTTGACAATTGAACATGATGTACCTGTGTGTGTAGAGGGTGAGATTCTGGGTCTGATGTTTTATCTGGACTAACTGGGAGAGACCGCGATTGTACGTGGGCGATGGGAAGGGTGATATGTATCGTATACTGTTGACAATAGAGGGATAAGAATGCCAGCTGTACAGGGTGGGGAAGGAGTGGGTCAGGATCCGGATGTGATTGTTTGTCTCGATATACTTGGTGGAATGAATACCGTCAGTCAAAGTCAAAGAACGGACGGTGTCAATGTCCAACCAATAACGAAGTTGTGTTTCATCAGTAATGTTATAAAGCCAGGCTCATCAAGTCTCGGTGAACGTGTCAGCTCATGCAGTGGACTCTTTGATGTCCTTGTCATATTACTGATACTGCTATTTTAGTACAAGCAGTAAAGCAATGATAGGTAGTTTCGATATATCATTCTCAGCCATACAAAAACCCTATGACCCCTATCTCAACCGATAGACAATGCCACTTTGCTAATGTTCGCATGTGAGTCAGCATTAGAAATGATTGCTGTCTCACTGGACACTCCCAGCTTGTAAAGTTTCAAGTTTTAGTGGAGAAGGTAGTTTGGCTTGTTCATACCATACCTCTTTGTAGCTAGGTGGGGACAAGGGCGGTCCAGTCGTTCAAGACACTACAGTTAGCTGGGCAGTGTTGTGTCCCAAATATGCTTGAGTGAGTGGCGTGTCAACACCAAAGCTTTTCGGAAGTGGTAAACATTTAAGGCCTGGTTTACTTCGGGCTTGTACTCATTCACCAACTCAATCCCAACGTAAAGGGGTCATATTTAAGCATCAACTGAGATTACATAGTTTCTAGTTAGAAAGTACAGAGCGAAAACACCATGTGACATACACAGTAGATGACCATGTCACTTCCACAGACCCGCCATATATGAAAAACAGTCTCCGCACGGAAGCACTGACAAAGGTTTTCAAAGGACATTTGGGGAACAAAAAATGTGGAATGGGTAAACGGTTATGGCAAAAGATATAGATGGAAAACACACATATACGAAGCGATCCATACCAATGGTTTCGCTAATCGGACCATCAACATTCCAGATACGTGCGTCCCATTGTTAAGCACGACCCAAACGCACTTCCAAATGGGACGAACAAGTCAGGGGTAGCTATACTGTCTCCTTATGACCAGTGCCGAAAATAATTACGAGGTGCTTATACCTTCAATTGTCATATGCGCAATGAAGGGGAAGTTTCACAAAGTCTAAATCGTTTTGAACACCTATCTTGTCTTGTCTATGAGCATTGGTGACACTGCTTACTACAGTGTTCACTGAACATGAGTTTAATGGGTCCACCTTGAGTTGTGGCTGATTGTGGGCAGATCAGATCAAGCAAGGGACTACACAACCGTGAACTGTAAACAATATCGTCTTGATTTCGGCTTTACAATTAAAATATCATTAATGTATTATGAGATGATACAAAATACAATTTTTCACTATTAAATCTCTAATATTAGCTGAATATAACGCCTGTCAATACACCATAATATTCTATGGGTAGGTATATATTTTGAGCTTTCAAAATTTATTTTATCATTCAACGGACAGGTTGTGACAGAAGCTGCACAGAAAGGAAATCGCAACATGTCGACGCTGAGTATCAGGAGGTGGACATCACTAGCATAACAATGGCTAGAAAGTGGTGATACTGCTCAATAGGTGATAATAGGTCCGACTGATCCCCTCGCCAGGATGTCCCTCCACACAGCGAGAACATCGCTTTTATCGCCTACCCATCTGACCCTAGGGCAATCGCCGAAGGTCATGGGCAAGAGCTGTGGGGAAATTCGCCCGGGTGTAATGAGAGATTCTACAAATTATACCCCTCCTTAAGGATCCACATCCCTTTACAAAGGAGTCAAAATGTCCAACTTGCATACAGGGGCAGTGTGGTCGCTTTCTATGGGAAAATGTATCGGCAATTTTGTGGACCATATAAACATTCCAATATTCACCTGAGTGAAGGCTTACAAGTCAAGTGAAGACATCATGGGAAATGGCAATAAGAATATATAGTGTGATCCGGTAGAGATGACAAACTTGACCAATCCTGTGCTTTAAACGCAGGGGAAAATATGTAGTATTTATTTCAGCTACAGTTATGACATAGGGTTGTTTGGTGTTAACAGCAGGCCAATTCACGACTATACTCAAAATGGGATGGAAGCCCTAATTTGTTACGTATTGTGAGCGTTTTCCAGCCACAGCGCTACTTCCTCCTTCCTTGACACACTGTTATCAGGACAAATTAAGTGTGTTGGACGTGCATTCCCGTCGACTGATTAAGTCATGAGTGTAACCCCGGGGTACAAACGCTAAACGTAAGAGAACGCCACCCTGCTGACCACCAATCTGAATAAACAAACACTGATTTTAAGTACGGTGGGTCACTTCACAAGATAAATACCCCCAAACTCACGTCTTCTGTCCACCCCTTGTCCACTGACCAGGCTCACAATAGACACCGGTTGTCAGCCATTGTTGACCTCTGTCACAGAGTTACCCATACGGAGAGTTACGTCCTCGTTTACTATCGCTTGACAGGACAAAACTTGATGTCAGAGACACAAGAACAATTGATGTTTTTAGACAATATATAAAATATAGATACAACATTCCCCTCTAAATATTTATGGATGAGCTTACAAAAAGGTGCCCTTAGTCTGAAGATGTTTATAAACGTTTTAAGACGACAGAAGAATTTGAGTTTTTTCGCATTGTAATACTTAGGCGGTATTCTGTATATTTCAAAGGGTTGTTTCATTCAAGTGATGTTAATGATCACCTGGTCTCCCTTCACATGCATACATCATAGATGGTGTATTAATATCGGTCTATTGATTGCAACAGTGTACGGTGCATATCATTCCTAAAATATAAAGATTAATCCAGAACAGCCGGCACGCTGCATGTTAACAGATGGCTTTCATGTGACCCTTCACCCACCAGGACCTACAAATACAGCATAAATCTGATAAAAGTATTGCTGTCGAGGCCAACAGGGGAATGTTCTTATCAATCGTCATATGGGTGAGTTATATGCCATCTGTGCATCAGGCCTGAACACCTGAAAATGCTCAGGGCTGTGTTAGCACTGATGAGACACCGTGAAGTTGAAGGTGGATTCTCACGGTGTGTGCGTTAGATAAAGGTGTTGTATTCCAACATGGCAATGTGTGGAACAAAAATCAATAGACCTTTATACCTGTACTGGAAAGCACAATCGACTGAATTCCAAAAGGCTCATTAAATGATTGAGTGATAACACTGGTTAATAATTAATGCAGATTTACAAGTACGAATCACGTACGGCTGGAACATGACGTGACGGGGTGGCAAATATGCTGATTTCACTCGAGCAGTGGCGGTGGAGCCTTCACTATTTTCCATCACTCTATCAGTAACAGAGGGTCGATGTAATCCTGTTGTTCTATGAAATGCGGCAAGCTAACGATCTTCGTTTTAAATAAGTTAGAAAAAGTGCCAGACTGTCACCTCTGACCGTCTGACCCTTTGTCACAAGGACCGCTTCGTGGTGTGGTTAGTTGGAACGTGACATTCTGGGGTTAACGAGTGACCAGGGGAGCGCTATCTCCAGCCCGTGGGTAATATAGGGGTATTGTTTGTACCGGGTGGTGAGGGTCGTGAGACCGCGCTGGAATGTGTAATGGGTTCGCGAGATAGTAACAGGTGTAGGAGTTGGAAAGTATGATAACGTCTGTCCGGTGAACCTGGGGTTACCTTGAACCATCAAGAGGATGTACACGGCAGTTTATCATATGTGATGCAATATAGCAGTGAAAGTGTCAATTACAGTAAAACTGTAATTTCCGTTGCACATGCGAAAACTGTAACTCGACCAGGGCTCGATTAAAGCCTTTAGAACTTACACTGGTGAAACATGGAACTGCAAAATGCAACCTGATATTTATACCGACTTGCACCCAATGCATGCTAACATTTTGGCCATCAAAGAACACATACTGGAGCTGGAAATTTAGGAATGATGAGGAACCGACTTGGTTGAACCGACCGATTGAATGACTGTTACTCACAAACGCAGAATAATTCTGTTTTAATGATATTTTAAATCGTTAATACCAAAACTCAAGCTTCATATACAGTTTCATGTTAGGCAGCATATGCAATTTTATGTTGAGCTGCGGGTGCTACCGGTTTGTGTCTCAGCACCTGAGAAGATCACAAATATGATTGGCACAGCAGTGAATAAAGAGCCATTGAGAATTGTTCACAGTGAAACAAAGTAGGCTTCATATTATTAAAATCGAGACCTGTTGAGTTATTAGATTTTCAATAAATGAGCATCACGTTCAATTTATTTTTAGCTAAACAGGGTTCATTATGAACGGCTACACCAAGCACGAGCTTCAATTTCTGGCTCATTTTACCCATTGTAACCGGAACTTCACCATGTGTCACGCTTCGCCGATTTCTAAGAATATGGTAACTAACAGTAATACTAGGTTCCCTATGTTTCCAATAACTGCACAGTTAAAATAAACATGGCGCTCTGGTAACACACTGTGGTACTTGTGACAGGCTAACATTCGCAGGCCTCGAAGTATATGAGGAAGGTATCTGGCCTCATATAAATATCACCTTACACTAACGCTTAATCTCTGAATACATAATTTTGATTGTAGCAAATAAACCCATTTAAATTAGGGCTTAAGTATTGCAGGGAGGGCTAGGCTGTTGGGAAAATAATATGGTTCAGGGACTGTGAGACAGACTAATACCAGCTGAAATGCTGCGTTAATGACCTTGTGTTGTATTGTATGTAGTAATATATTAACTAGCATTAACATGAGCCAGATAGAACTGCAATGTGCATTATATCATGGAATAAATATGCTTGACACATTCGCAGGATATCTATTCTTCTTATTCAAGTGTGGACTTAAAACAGGCTGGTTTCAAGTACTACTAACGGACTGTATCAGTGGCGACAATGAATTCATAAACTCAATATTTTTTCTCAGTATTATTCTTTTGTTGTTAAATTATTTCATTTATGTATCCAGCGACTGTAATAATGTACTGGAGAGGCGTTCATATAAGCCACTACTTGTTCGCCTATCCAGGTTTCAGTTTATGAAATAAAAATATGTTCAAACCAGTACATAAACTGATCATAACGGTATGCCCTGTATGTACATGCAAAGGCTATTCAGTACATCGGAAATATTTTGTTAAAGCATGTGTATCTGCTTACAACAGACACTTCTTTTGATTCTGGACAGGATGTTGTCGCCATATTTTCATCCAATGGCACACCATGCCATTACATGTGTTACAGATAACAGATGTTCATTATAATATCTTTCCATCTGCAATATATTTCATTCAAATTCCTTACATTCGATCAGCCGTTGGATATATCAAAGCCTTCAGAGAGTATATAGTGTCGTTGGGTGTACCAGCCACCTGTTCACAGGCGGTTAATGATGACCATGAGTCACAGATGACAGAATATTGACAAGCTATAAGGATAGAGTTGGATTCACAGTTTTCCGTGTCAGAATCGCTGACCTGTAAATCATAGTATTTAGCAGCTTGACAGGAGATTATACTTTCACAATACGTTCTTTCAATCAGGTTGTTAACCACACCATGTGCTTCGGTGAATGTTATATCTGTGAATATACATCCTTCCCTGGATTCAATACAGCGTGATAACAGACCAGACCATGTATGCGTTATCATGATGTTCCAATGTGTGAATGATTAATGCTTTGTGTTATCTGTGATGAAACGCTAACAAAGTAAACAAAAAAGCATTTTTAAGCATTTGAATACTTAATAACATTGAGTGACCTTACGATTTTAACATTAATTACATGGTAACATCGGAAAACTAAAACAAATATCCTAGTAAGTGTAAACGTAACGGGTAACAGCTTTATCACCCTTCATATTATTAAAACTGTTGCGAGTCTGTCTGTTTCAAAAGAATAATTAATGGTTGACCTTTTCGGGGACGTTCTGGAACTTGGGGTCTAACCTGATTAAGTTGACAAGCAGACGATTTGAAATGGTCACCGCGCCCCAACAATGCGTTGTTTTGAAACCCACCGCACTGTGGTATGGCATACAGTATTGTCTGATGCTGGGAATACCGTCTACCTTCTTCATCATGTATTGACCTACATACCATAAACCATAGCAGTATTTTCACTGCATACATTGCGACATAATTAATAACAGTACGACTACTACTCCTATCAATGTATCAACTGTATGAAAAATTGATAATCACGTTCCCAATGGGTAATTACATTTGTTTCAAATGCATATTTATTTTTTATAATAATATCATATTTTTTATTTTATTTTAGTTATAGATTAATTTTAAAATGATAGATAGTAAGTAATTTGATTTAAGATGAACGCAGATGACCAAACACCGTGCATGTATATAAACGAACGTAAACGATCTTCCGGCGACACACATTCACGCTTTCCCACAATAAACGACACTTGAGACGGCAAGCAAATGACATCAAGTATATCGTTGACAACAGGAACATTACATGTTACATGACGTATGGGGGTGATCCATCACATACAACCTGGATGAAATAGTCCGCAAACTGATTAAAGTCACATTTCAGGAAGTATCACGATAGCGGGTTTTCTAACATTTTTAAAGTTGTTTTCAAGACACTTACCAGACTGTAATATCCACTCACTGCACTCCCAGTACGGGTGTTTGCCCAGCAGAGAAACGACCTGATAATCGCCATATTCGGTTTAACTGTCCGCACAAACTCAGAAATATTGTCTTGACTTCAACATGGATGTAGCCTTTCACTGTCGATGACTCACAAATCTGCCATACACAAGTTGGTCCTTGTCTACCCTGGGTGAGAAGACCGGTGTACGTTCCTTCCCCTGTTCCGGCAAATTCCTTTCTGCGTGAACCCGCCAGGCCCCTGCCCCTATACCTCGAAACCTCCGTACGCTCGACTGAGCAAATAGTTTGGGTACCTCGCCTCTCAGAAAGTGCGCGGAGAAGCGTGACACAATACCCGAATGTCAGAGCAGACGACAAAGATAACCTGAATAACGCATGAACAATGCACTCATGTCTCTTGGGTTTGATTAGTCAAAGGGACGTAACTCATGTAGTGTGAACAAATTTCGAAGCGCCACAGGTAACCTAGATAATCAAGGTAACTATTTTGCAAATATCCCGACAGACCTATATCATATATAAATGCAAGGATGTAGTGTCATATATTTTTTAGAATTCATATGATTTTAAAAAACATTGGAAATATAAGAGTAACGGATCTGAACAACTGTTTCATTTCTTTAGAGGAAAAAGAAACATTCGTGTTTAATAAGGTACAGGTTTGTCTTTAAGGGGAGATAACTGCTTTTGTGTATGGTTGTTAACTGTCTCGGATATTGTTGGGACTGGGACACGACAGGAGATTGTTCCGTCGGGCTGGTTGTCCATCAATGCTAATGAGCCCCTTGTGGATACATTAAGTCAATCAAGCTGCCATGTATTGCCCAACGTTATCCTCAGGGTTGAGAGGTTGCATCATTAACAAACAGCATGCCATAGAAAGCATCTGGGATTATCACTTGTGTCGTTGATAATCCGTGACAATGCTAATTTCCCTATTTGTTGTTTGTGTGTACTTGAAATCAGGCATTTGTTTCATGTTTGCACGTTTGGACAAGGCCTTTTTGTCTGGAATGTCCAGTTGATCTGCAATTAATTATACAGTCATTTCACCGTCCGCATTCGCCCATTGATAAGCCGCTAATTCTAACCGTCCCGTAAATCGTTTACCAAACTCCCGTAGTTAATTTCCATTACCACAATCAGCATAATCCACATGAGTCGTCTGTACCCATTTTATTCAAATTATCATTGTAAAATGTGCAATTAAACTATATTGGCGGTCGCGGTTTTTCGGTTACATTTCATTCTCCCTTTTCGGGATCAATCAAAGACGTTTTATGACGGAAGGTCAATACAAATACTAGTAACAAGCCGTTTACTTCTATGACCAGACTACTGATCATTCACCTTGGTCGTGTTTCACTTTTGATGTCTGACATAAATCTGGTTCATGTATCAGGAAGAATTTGGGTTGTGTTCATTTGTGTATGATTACTTCATGGTGTATCTGTGTTTGAATGTTTCAGTAAATGATAATAATTATAAGAACCTACTACTGTACCAGGGAGGGAAGTCTGTCTCCGTGACTCTAGAGAATAAATGACACAGGAGCCCTACTCAAGTCCAGTAAAAATCTGGAAAATCTAGATTGCCCCACATCTATGGATTGTTCTGGGCTCAATTGGACTTGTTTTGTTGATAAAAACATCTTACATTTTTAAATAAGATTCTAGGACTAAATAGAGAGAGAGAGAGAGAGAGAGAGAGAGAGAGAGAGAGAGAGAGAGAGAGAGAGAGAGAGAGAGAGAGAGAGAGAGAGAGAGAGAGAGAGAGAGAGAGAGAGAGAGAGAGAGATTATTTATTGAAGTCTCACCCGATACAACACTTAGTGAAAATACATTGGTTTTATTTATTATATTGGCCACCCACATGGGTTAAGAGAGACCTTATGACTATATATCAATGCACGACAGCGTTGTTCGCGGAGTAGCTAGATTGTTGATCAACATGTTGTTTCACTTAACAGAAGATAAGCCGCAATTATGTTAATCACAACTGTTATACAATGCTCAGAAGCTGGGTAGGTTAATTACAATTAGTTAGGGGCCAGCCAGCCTCATGTCACTTCTATAAACCTGTGAAGTCAGAGTTACTGATCCAAATAAATTCTGGGTAGATATTCTCGTCCGAAGTCTCCTCTTCATGAAAGGGTTTGTACTCGCTGTAGTAGCAAAGCTGTTGAAGACGAATTACATTTCCTGGTTAACTGTGATTATTATTTAGATCTCCGATATAATCTTTGGAAAGAAATAACCAGTGTCCAACCTATATTCCCATCTATGTCAGCAGTAGACAAAATGGTACTTTAAAATCAGTTCGTAAAGCCCTTGCCGCACTCCTCCATACTATGTTTAGGCGCCGAAATATTTCCGTAGAATAGTGTTGTCTAGTTTAATAAAGTCAGCATTCACTCATCAGCATGTTTGCTATTTATATAATTTATGCTTTTTAGTGTAAGAAAGTGAATGTGTGTGTTTTAAATCCCTGTAATAATGTAACGACTATTTTAATGAATTGAAACATGTCACACTCTAATAAACTATTTTTCTTCTTCTTCTTCACTATCGGACTGGCAAAGAAATCGCCATTCATAACGTTCAATGTTGATTAGGTTTGGTTTATTTGTGATTTTCTGTGAATCACCATGACCTGGTAGGGGCTGAGTGTGAGGTGATGTCTTAAAGATCAACCATCATTCACAAGTGAGTAATATGGTGAAGCCACGTCTCGAACTGACAAACATTAAATCGTCATTGCAGACCACTACAAAGTATCATAAAGGTCTCTATGAGGATGTTAACGTTGAAAATAGAAGTGAAGAAAATAACTGTAATGACCTTTGTTGATATGATGTCAGTTTAAAAGAAAGTTTAGTTTAATCGCTGAGAATTTGACACACAATGTATGCGGACATTGGATTTCTTATGATCAGTGAGAAATGTTAAAAGTTCATGCTTTCATCGGTACTCCAGAAGTTGGTGAGTCAATAATCAACCATATGACTGTATGGATTCTTCTTGTTTATTGCATACAGCGACGTTTCAGTGTAGTTTTTTTCATCATTTTCCTCAGGCTCAGAATCTCCCATCTCACCAGGTCTCCTTTTCAATTTGAATGGCATTATTTGTTTCCAGTAAAGTTAGATATATTCAGAGACTAAGCGCCAGTTCACGGCTCCATTGACAGTGGCCAGCGTTTTTCTTTCTTTCTTGAGTTTAGTTTTACACCGCACTCGGCTATATGGCGGCGGTCTGTAAATAATCGAGTCTGGACCAGACAATCCAGTGATCAACAGAATGAGCATCGATCTACGCAACTGGGAACCGATGACATGTGTCAGCGAGCCTGACCACCCGATCCCGTTAGTCGCCACTTACGAAAAGCATGGGTTACTGAAGATCAATTCTGACCCGGATCATCACGGGTTCTTTCTTGAGACCGGAAAGTAGGTTGTTCCTTCCACTAAAGGTTAAAACAAGGATTTGTGGAGTAATCGCTTTAATTGTGTAAGGGTTTATAGTAGGGCTGGGGCAATACACTATGTCACGATACGATACATATCGCGATATTTTACCTGCGATACGATACGTATCACGATACATACACCTTGAAAGAATGACACGGTATCAAGATTTAAAATGATTTATTTCAAGGTATTTGAGTTTAAAAAAAACACTATTGTAATAAATATACAAGTAACTCCATCATTCTTGCGTATTTTTCTCTAAATAAGTACTGTAACATGTTTAAGATAATACTTTTTGAAAAAAAGTTGTGTATCGTTTTGTATCGATACACCAGTCCACGATACGATAGCTGTATCAAACTTAAATGTATCGCGATGCATCGATGCATCGGTGAATCGTCCCAGCCCAGCCCTAGTTTATAGATGAAACGTATTTTGACTCTTACAACCACAGTACGTACAGAACAACAGTACGCTTAACATTTATAAGACAAATTTTATTGTTCTTCTTTCCTTACAAACCCATTCTTGAAATAGTACCACAGAAAAAGAGAAACTAAAGTGACAAATCAGTGAACAAAGCAAACATGTCAAACAAACGTGTTCTGTCTCCGATATTTCATATGTGAAAGTCTCAGTTACAATTCGTCAGGCCACGATTTCTAAATGTCAGGTTCTACGCTGTTTGGTTTTAACATGGTTTTCTGCCAGTAATTACTCCACATGTCATAACTCATTCATTAGACGAGCGTCTCGCGGTAGGAATCCTCATGGATTATGCACGGCAGGTAATCAAATATGGATAGTTTCAGACAATACTGGAATTGTAGAGTTCGACAGTGAAATATACACCAATATTTCCGTTTTAGTTGTAAATCACAGTCTTTCACGGTGTAATGTATCCTGGAATTTGTCGTCAAGAATTTAGAAGCTTGATGTGCACACGTTTGCGTTCCGTTGTAAAATAGCTAAGTAGGTAGTAATTGCATTTGTGGAATCAGAGCTTCTGTTACAAGATCTGAGATATGGATGACAATAAACACAGTGAAACTGACACCGACATAGTGATGAAGTGGTACATATCAAGTATCTTCTTGACAGTACCGAACCGTGCAACGCTTTGTCATATATACATGCCATAACATCAGTTTGTTAACCGTTTAGTCACATATTCTCCTTGAATGAACTTCAGAAAAATACAATGTTGAGTTTTACTCTGAGCTTAAACAAAAATGGGTTTCTGGGACATCAACTGACAATTCCTGAAATCTGATGTTTTACGCCGGACCCATGACGGAAGTTTGGATGTGTGGACCAGATGGCCAGTGTTTGATACTATAAACAACGATCTGCGACTTCGGGCTACGTTGACACGCAATCAACTCACCCGACACCCAACCCATGTTACTGACCATTACAATCAGCATAGGTTGTTCAGGACCAGTTTTATTCAGGAAAATCGTCACGTGGCGGGAGACATCTGTGGTCAGCATTAAGAACTGCCTGTGTCAGAAGTGTAGAGCTGCCTGTGTCAGAAGTGTAGAGCTGCCTGTGCCAGAAGTGTAGAGCTGCCTGTAGTGTGATCCACTTTAGAGCTGAACTAAATGTTTCAGAAGTGTAGAGCTGCCTGCGATCCACGTTCAGAACTGAATGTGTCAGAAGTGTAGAGCTGCCTGTGATCCACGTTCAGAACTGAATGTGTCAGAAGTGTAGAGCTGCCTGTGATCCACGTTCAGAACTGAATGTGTCAGAAGTGTAGAGCTGCCTGTGATCCACGTTCAGAACTGAATGTTTCAGAAGTGTAGAGCTGCCTGTGATCCACGTTCAGAACTGAATGTGTCAGAAGTGTAGAGCTGCCTGTGATCCACGTTCAGAACTGAATGTTCAGAACTGAATGTTTCAGAAGTGTAGAGCTGCCTGTGATCCACGTTCAGAACTGAATGTTTCAGAAGTGTAGAGCTGCCTGTGATCCACGTTCAGAACTGAATGTGTCAGAAGTGTAGAGCTGCCTGTGATCCACGTTTCAGAACTGAATGTGTCAGAAGTGTAGAGCTGCCTGTGATCCACGTTCAGAACTAAATGTGTCAGAAGTGTAGAGCTGCCTGTGATCCACGTTCAGAACTGAATGTGTCAGAAGTGTAGAGCTGCCTGTGATCCACGTTCAGAACTGAATGTGTCAGAAGTGTAGCTGCCTGTGATCCACGTTCAGCCTGTGATCCACGTTCAGAACTAAATGTGTCAGAAGTGTAGAGATCCACGTTCAGCCTAGAGTGACTGCCTGTGATCCACGTTCAGAACTGAATGTGTCAGAAGTGTAGAGCTGCCTGCGATCCACGTTCAGAGCTGGATGTTTTAGAAGTGTAGAGCTGCCTGTGATCCACGTTCAGAACTAAATGTGTCAGAAGTGTAGAGCTGCCTGTGATCCACGTTCAGAACTGAATGTGTCAGAAGTGTAGAGCTGCCTGTGATCCACGTTCAGAACTAAATGTGTCAGAAGTGTAGAGCTGCCTGTGATCCACGTTCAGAACTAAATGTGTCAGAAGTGTAGAGCTGCCTGTGATCCACGTTCAGAACTAAATGTGTCAGAAGTGTAGAGCTGCCTGTGACCCACGTTCAGAACTAAATGTGTCAGAAGTGTAGAGCTGCCTGCGATCCACGTTCAGAAATGTCTTTGATCAGCGTGTCGTGGCACTGAGCTGATTTGCTTGAAACAGAGCTGTCTATGTTTTCGAACTATCTAGGATTTGACAGGTCGTTCGCGGTGATGACGAAGTATGGTTTGTTTGGCATCCGTGTTATGCCTGCTTCACCTGGGAATGACCCTCCACAGTAACCTGACATGTCTTTCGACAAAAAGTATATTTTATTGTTAACACATGGCATTCTATTACCTACTGTGATCATCTAGCTGTTTGATTGGCCATTAGGCCTGTAAATACCGAGTATAATGTCCGTCTGTCTGACAAGTTACGATACTGTTGTGATAAGTTACAGTGCAGATAGTCAGTAAAAGCCTACCTGTCTTTGGAGACATGCGTTTTGTTTTCAGCACGGGAGTGTTTTTGTGTACGAGAAGGTAAAATGTAGGCGTCATGGTCTCGACATTTGTGCACAAAAGTAATGAACTAAACAAGCAATACTAAACACCCGGTGAGATTCAACTTGATACACACTATCAATAGTTCAAGCATCTCTGATAAATCGGCGCCAGTAGGGCTATTTGCCCATAGTGTTTGTTGTGTACAGGAAGGTCAAATGTAGGCGTCATGGTCTCGACATTTGTGCACAAAAGTAATGAACTAAACAAGCAATACTAAACACCCGGTGAGATTCAACTTGATACACACTATCAATAGTTCAAGTATCTTCGATAAATACACGTAAATAAATTATATATCAAGTAAATGCCTTTGTTCACCGGCGCCCGGAGAGATACAACCACAGATTATGATTTTACAGTCACTTCTATTACTTCGGGATGCGCCAACGCTATGATGGTGGGCAATTTCGACCATCAGTAGGGTCTATTTGCCTTCACCTGCCCAACAAACACCACTGGTTTCGGTGTTAAGCAGTTATTTTAAAGGTTTCATTTACTTATTTTGATTTTTTTCTGCTGCAGTTCTGTGCACTGTACGTGCAGAAAGTTACACCGTATCGAAAGATTAATGTTTTGTCCGAAACAATGGCACAACTTAAATTCGTGTTGCAAAATTTGTGGGGTTTTGACAAGTGACACTAGTATATAGTTGTCTTACATCAGCATTTTGCTGATTATGGAACATCGTCTATCAAGGTTGACGCAATGTTAAAGAAAATGACAAAAATAGATAAGCAGGGCCGGCATGAAACAAGACAGTACCTGTGTATGCAGGTTGAGTGAAGTACAAGTAAAATCCTCACAATGATCACGCTTACTTGTCTCTGGACAACATATTTCCACATGCGCAAGTTCTATATAAATGTACGAAGTACTTCTTTTAATCTTTGAAAAATGTCGCCACACTTACGCATGTGATGCGTATATTCGGGTAACACCCTTTGTCAATTTATGGATGGATGGACATATTGAACGTCACAAATTCCCGACGACAATGTTTTCGGGAGACATATTGCAGCTATCAAACCTGTATTCTAACCTGTACAACGACAGCTTGTCTTCCTGTACCCAAAAGTGAATTATACCTTTCAAACCTGGTAAATATTCTCAGTTCATTGAGAACGGTGGAAAGTAAACGTCATATTTCAGCTCACGTTCTTGTCGTCACATCAATCAGAAATTACGTTAGTGGACACCGATGTCCTGCAGATAAGGACAGCACAACGGAGTATCAGCGGGAGGACCTCAGAAGGACAGTGGACGCCAGAACCTCAGCACCCACCAATATTGACCCAGTTTGGGGTACTCCTGCTGGTGGATTGGTAGGCCACACAAAGACAACCATATGGAAGTTAATCAGCAGTCAGCCATCAATGTGTCGACATATATCGCCCAACGTGGGGAAAACACCGGATCTACATTTTACAGACATTTACTGTCATAACACCAGGTCTACATTTTACAGACATTTACTGTCATAACACCAGATCTACATTTTACAGACATTTACTGTCATAACACCAAATCAATAGTTTACAGACATTTACTGTCATAAAACCAGACCTAAATTTTACAGACATTTACTGTCATAACACCAGATCTACATTTTACAGACATTTACTGTCATAACACCAGATCTACATTTTACAAACATGTACCGTCCTAACACTCGGTTTACATTTTACAGACATTTACTGTCATAACACCGGAACTACATTTTACAGACATTTACTGTCATAACACCAGGTTTACATTTTACAGACATTTACTGTCATAACACCAGATCTACATTTTACAGACATTTACTGTCATAACACCATAACACCTCAGACATTTTACACACATTTACTGTCATAACACCAGATCTACATTTTACAGACATTTACTGTCATAACACCAGATCTACATTTTACAAACATTTACTGTCATAACACCAGATCTTACTGTTTGTCATTAGCTAGCTCCTGAGGAGTTGTAACTGTAGTTTGTACTGTTATGTTTGGTAATTAAAGGAATCTGATTGGTGTGTGTGTGTGTGTGTGTGTGTGTGTGTGTGTGTGTGTGTGTGTGTGTGTGTGTGTGTGTGTGTGTGTGAGAGGGTGTAGTGGGGGGATGGACCACTGGTGGTGGCGGCATGGATATGCACGTGTAGGCCATCACTTTAGGATTTGCTCCAATATTAAAGTGACAATTATACTATAAAGTATATTCACTTGTAGGTTATATGGGCGCAAAAACGAAAATGACAGTTACATCTAATATCGCATGTCAGTTCTCAGCTCAGATGAAAAATGACTATTTTGACACGACCTTTAAATATAATTACCCGTCTCCGCATATTGACGAAATTTTAAATATAATTGATGAAATATATTACATCAGAAGTCCTGATATAATATGAACGTTATTTGTGTAACAGTGTATGTGTAATGGTACGGGTAGATTAACACAGATCAAGCCGCCCCTTTGATGGTGCTGTGAAATTCCGGATCCGGAAACAGGATTTCCGGCTAAATGAAGCTTTTATGTAGTTTATATTTCGTTCACGTAACTTCATCCGGTATGCAAGGTATCTGGACAAATAGAGTCCTGGATAAGCAGGTTTCCAGCAAATCTAAATACGTGGTGAGGAATAGCCCTCTAATCTTCGATGACTGAACGCTAATAAGTGATGCTCTTCAATACCACCCGGCGGACTGCAGCCTCAAAGTCAGATTTTACAGTAACTTCTAATAGCGAGGGATACGCAACCTCCGTCAAGATGCTCAGAGTTAAATGCCCTTATCTGCAGAAATATCTTCATTGGATTCGGCTTGCAGCAGTATTTAATTTTTTGGTCAAAAATTTATCCGAAATATTTTTATTTGAGGAGATACCGAGTCTGATCTGCTGTTGACGAAACACTCATTCGCATTCGGTGAGCGTACATTTCATATTTTAGATGAATGAATGTATTATTGTGCACAAATGTAAGCCATTCTTTGTAATATCTGTCTCTGAAAACGTCCAAATTATTCACAACCGTGTGTGATGGATGTACATAATTTTTACAAATGACTTACTCCCAGTCTATAAGGGTCTGTTTAGGTGTAATTGATCAAGTTGTGTTTGTCAACCGCTATAATACTGTCGTCAATGTCACTATGTATTTTCATATACCAACAAAGCTGGTGAAAATAACAGACAGCAGCGAAAGGATCCCCTGACACTGTGTGGGTGATAACTTTATTCACTTATGCTGTAAAGGTTGCCAGTTATTAAAAGTTGACACAGAAAACCCGAATAGTCGCCTTACATCTAAAAAAGACCTTTTCGCTTCTTATCGAACCTCATCTGTCAAGGCTGACGCCATATTAGGCCTTACTCTCCTGCAAGAAAAGACACACAATATAAAACCAACATCAAACAGATAATTGTGCGTGCAGGTCGAAAGAAATTAATGCGAACCTTTCCCTCCGCCACTCATCCCCCTGATGTGAAGCATTGAAGAGACGACTATCTGGGCCCGGTTGTTCAAAACTCGGTTATCTTTTAACCAGCCGTTAAGTACATTTAACCGACCGTTAACTAATAACAGAGGGTTATCTTGTTGTTCATAACTCTGTTAACTTTAAACAGGTTGTTAACGTGACGTAAAGTTAACACACCTAAGGACCGCCGATAACTTTTTAACAGTGTGGTTAGGTGAGTTGAGGTGAAATTGGTTTAACATCGTGCTTGAGAATATGTCGCTCATTGAATATGACGACGTGCGTGCATGTGTATGTGCGGCTGCTTGTACTAGCCTAGACTTAAGCTGGTTTTATAGTGCTAGCCCACTGAGATACCATGCCACAGTGAAGCATGAATACCCCACTCTGACACATTATACTGACTCCGAGCCGACCAGTCCTTGTTGTACCCAGAAATGCCGAGTGCCAGGCAGGGACCAACAAGTACCATATTTTAACGTCTTTTGGTATGACACGGTCGGGGATCGAACCCGCGACCCTCCGCTGTCCGGGCGGACACTCTAACCACTACACCACGGAGGCGGTCTAACAGTGTGGTTAACTCGCAAATGGCGTTCATGGCTAACACTGCTTTCATGAGGCCAAGAAAAGATAGGGTGTATCGTGGACTGGACTTCGATATTGTAAATTATTCTGACGAAGAGTTACTCCTGCTGCTACTGTAACTTACTCACTCACTCACTCACTCAATGATGTAAATATTTGTTACGTCAAAAGCGAAAAACACAAGCTATTGTCTGCCCTTGTCATTACAGAGCTCTCTCCCTTTCCGGGTACTCGATTCCTAGAAATAAGACTCGATTCCAGCTGTACCCGACCCGGATTCGAGTACCCGAGTACCCATCCCAGCCTTAGAATTCAGTGATGCATTTGTCGCCGCTAAATATGATGCAATTGGCGTCTCAATACAGGCCTTCGCGAAACGTGATTTTGTAAACACTAACCAATAGGGCGCAAAGTGCACATGGGCGTTCGTGTGAGTGTATTTCTGAAAACATCTGAACACGATTCCAGGTTTATCGGCAACGATTCAGAATTAGTAGAGATTTTATAAAAAAAACTTGATATCATTGATGATTAATATGCTATTTTTGAAGGTCAATACTTCGAGTAATTATCCGATTTTGGTTTGACATGTTTGATATAGCTAACGGCATGACTAACCATGTTTTGAACAACGCATATTTAACGTTCGGTTCCCTAACGGTCGGTTAAGGATTTAACCGGCCGTTAGAAGTTAACCGGCGGTTAAGATAACCGAGTATTGAACAACCGGGCCCAGGTGTACCTCTCGTGGCCATTTTGTGCCACTAGATACCGTCTAATCGATAGCGGTCCTTGCTGAAAGAATCAGCGTGTTGATTCACGTATATTTCCCAAAGCTTTCATAAATATATAACACATGAGAGTTAGGCTAATGTATGAAATATGTCTTAACACAATTACATGTAACTGGGACATATTCATAGAAATGTACGCATTATGAAAAACCTATATTCCTGAAAGTTTCTTTTACCGAATAAGTTATACGCAGATGCGTCATATTTTTACTTAAACCTTCTTCTTGTAGTCTAGGGCAAGGGTCGAGTGATGACGGATGCGATGTCACGCTGACGGGTCTCCACACTGGACAACATATTTGACCATGGGCGTGTTCTATACTCCAATATTTGAATATTGTTTTCATACAAATGCTTCTAATAAGACACGGACCGTCATATGACAATCCTACACGAATACCTCTTGCATTGAACTACTCCAATACAATGATCTCTTGAAAAATGACCTATACAAAGCTTACAAGCGAACGTTGCTACGAGTTTGTAGCATCCGAGGTAGATGTCGTTGTGTGTGAGGCTGACAGTGATGGTGTAGACACCGGGAAGCAGGAAGGCTGTGTACACGTTGAACGTTGCCACGGGGAGGCTGTAGTTGCCCTAGAAGTAAACACGACCTAGTGAGTTCAGGTGAAACAACGTTTCAGCTGTCGGTAGAATACCTAAACCAATGCTGATTGGGGACGTCTTTACCGCTTTTAAACTGACAACGCCATAATTGATTGATAAGGTATTGTAATCAATACATAATTCTATTGACTTAGGACAACATACGAATTATTTTGATAGTATTTTCGATAACAAGTAATATATGTAAATAAATACGTATCATTATACAAAAGAAACTTTGGAGACAATAAAAATAATCAGAGGCATCCATCCACTTTACAATGCAACATCACCTTCGCCCATTCTATTGTCAGCCAGTGAGGCATCAGTAAAGTCTTTGAACGGCATTTAAAAGTGATACACATGAAGGCTTTTGGGATTCAGTCGTCAGTAAGGGGGCGGGGCCGGACGTATTTTCTTATTTGGAAACATGAACGCAAACAAAAGTTCCTTTGTTAGCCAAAGAAAATCCTACGGAATCACTCCTATTATGCATTTGACATTATAAATTCAGTTAGTACTACATTCTGATGCATATTGTTGGAAGTCTTGGGACATTAACCTATTTTGCCGAATTATCACTTTATTATGATGGAGGGTTTTCACTTAACTACACTTTATTCTCAATGGACCACCTATGGTGGTATAAGAGTACATATCACACACATCAATTATTACACAGTCAAAATGGCGGCGGAGTATAACAATATATTGTAGAAATTCAGTTGTTGGTATAACATGTCTATTATCTAACTTTTGTTATAGTAGAACAGATAACATTTACGCTAGGTTTTTTAAAACAGTATTATCTAAAGTAGCAAACAGGATTCTATAAGATACATATTTGAGTGTTTGAACAATTTGGTTGATACAAATTTTCTTCTACATTCATGACAAGCAGGACAGCGAAATATATATTGGAACTCGTCTGCAACTGCTGGCGAGTCACATACTTGCACTGCAGGGAGTTACTTACCGCTTTGAAGGGGGCATTTACACGGCACATTAGCAGTTCCAAATTCCTGGGGACACTCGACATCTTTGAGGATGGTGCACAGGTCGTCGTAGACGCAGCTACCAACATTCCCTACACACGGTAGTGGTACATCCTGGTTATTAACTCTCTCAGACATCTGAACGACAGCCTACGGAAGTACAAAAAAATATAGTTTTACCACTGTACGTATAAATGACGGTGATATTGGAATTATTCTTTGAGATTATGGACAACTTACTTAATGTATACAATTTCCTTGGTTTCATTATATTGAGAATGTTTATGGTTTAATTTTAAGTAACAACGCGAGAAATTTGAGAATTGCTGCTAGGATTTGTTTGTTTATTTGCCGCACTTCTCCAGCTATGTGGCGGGAGTCTGTAAATAATTGAGTCTGGACCAACATCATGAACATCGATCTACACATTTGGGATACGATGACATGTGTCTTTTACGACCAGCTGAAGACTGAAGACAATGTTAAACCGGATCTTCAAGGGTATAAAATTGCTGCTGGGAAGTAAAGAGTTGTGTTCTCCTGATCGCATTGTTGTGCTTTTAGTTCATAACCAAATGTCGACATCTCGAGATACAGAAATCATATATGCAGCGAAAAGGTAAGCCGTTGATGCTGATTGGCTAATTTTCGAGATACAGAAATCATATATGCGGTGAAAATGTAAGCCATTGATGCTGCTTGGCTGATTAGAAACTTGACCTGACGCAAGAATATTGGTCTTTAGCAACCCATGCTTGTCGTAAGAGGCGACGAACGAGATTGGGTGGTCAGGCTTGCTGACTTGGTTGACACATGTCATCGGTTCCCAACTGCGTAGATCGATGCTCATGCTGTTGATCACTGGATTGTCTGGTCCAGACTAGATGATGTACATATAGCTGGAATATTGCTGAGTGCAGCGCAAACCTAAACTCACTCACTCACTCACTTATACGTGTCACGCAGGGTGGTACAATATCTGTGTCATACGTCTTTACTCACTCCATACGTACCTTGAGGTTGTCTGGTACGTCTTTCTTGAGTTCAGCTTCGAAGGACAAATTGAACGTCCCAGGAAAGACAAGCGGGTCGGGGGAAAAGACCAGGTTTGTGACGATGAAGTTCTCGCCAGATACATTTCCACAGTTCTCAAACTTATACTCTGACAGCTTCGTTACCTCCTGTAAATCAAATGTGAAATACGTTTCAAAGCTAAAGTTATTCCTTTCATCGATGACGGTCACTGTTTATCGGTAAAACGGATGACACTGCTTATCGGTAAAACGGATTACACTGTTTATCGGCAAAACGGATGACACTGTTTATCGGCAAAACGGATTACACAGTTTATCGGCAAAACGGATTGCACTGTTTATCGGTAAAACGGATTACACAGTTTATCGGCAAAACGGATGACACTGTTTTTCGGCAAAACGGATGACACTGTTTATCGGTAAAACGGATTACACTCGTTTATCGGCAAAACGGATTACGGTTTATCGGCAAAACGGATTACACTGCTTATCGGTAAAACGGATTACACTGTTTATCGGCAAAACGGATGACACTGCTTATCGGTAAAACGGATTACACTGTTTATCAGCAAAACGGATGACACTGTTTTTCGGCAAAACGGATGACACTTTTATCGGCAAAACGGATTACACAGTTTATCGGCAAAACGGATTACACAGTTTATCGGCAAAACGGATTGCACTGTTTATCATTAAAACGGATTACACAGTTTATCGGCAAAACGGATGACACTGTTTTTCGGCAAAACGGATGACACTGTTTATCGGCAAAACGGATGACACTGTTTTCGGCAAAAACGGATGACACTGTTTATCAAAGCAAAACGGATTTACACAGTTTATCGGCAAAACGGATTACACAATTTATCGGTAAAACGGATTACACTGTTTATCGGCAAAACGGATGACACTGCTTATCGGTAAAACGGATTACACTGTTTATCGGCGATTACACTGTTTAAAACGGATGACACTGTTTTTCGGCAAAACGGATGACACTGTTTTCGGCAAAACGGATTACACAGTTTATCGGCAAAACGGATTACACTGTTTATCGGCAAAACGGATGACACTGCTTATCGGTAAAACGGATTACACTGTTTATCAGCAAAACGGATGACACTGTTTTTCGGCAAAACGGATGACACTTTATCGGCAAAACGGATTACACAGTTTATCGGCAAAACGGATTACACAGTTTATCGGCAAAACGGATTGCACTGTTTATCATTAAAACGGATTACAACTGTTTATCGGCAAAACGGATGACACTGCTTATCGGTAAAACGGATTACACTGTTTATCGGCAAAACGGATGACACTGTTTTTCGGCAAAACGGATGACACTGTTTATCGGCAAAACGGATTACACAGTATTATCGGCAAAACGGATTACACAATTTATCGGTAAAACGGATTACACTGTTTATCGGCAAAACGGATGACACTGTTTATCGGCAAAACGGATTACACTGTTTATCGGCAAAACGGATTACAAGCTGAACGTAAGAAAGTAAGTAAGTATATGGAATGTCATATTTCAGCATTCTTCACAAATTAAATCCATGGATGCCAACGTCCGGTAGTGAAAGCGTAAGAAGCATTGATCACAGTTGAAGATCATGAAAAACAAACAAGGATGGATAAGGAAGGTCAATGTGTAACTGTAACCTTTAACCTATTCAAAGAAGCTGTAATTTCATTCATTGCAACCTCAAGTAAATCAATATGTTATTGACGTTATACCATCATCATCGTCGTCGTTATTGTCATAATAATCCATATTAAAATATATAAAGAAGCAACTTTACTATCGTCATAGATTTATTTATAATTAATACCACAACAGGTATATGACTGTAAACCAATATTAGCATGACGGTTTCCCTGCTGAAGTGGGAAAGCTTTCAGTATAATGGACAATGGGTACACACATCTAAAGCCGCCCAAGTTCAATGGCGTCATTTTAATAGCATGTAGCACCACAAGAAAATACTATCCGGCGCACACAAAAAGTTAGTCGACTGATGATGCCACGTGGCATACATCGCCATTCTTCTTGGGGAGTCTGGATCAGTTTTTGTATGTTGACTGGAGGATATGACATAGTATATCTGGCGACAGTGCTGTGCTGTCAATGCCTGGTCAGAGAGTCCTAATTCCTTGATCCCGGAGTCGCCTGGACATATACCCCATATGATGCGTCGCTGATGACGTCATTGTCAGGAATCGATTGGTGAGATATAATATATGATTTGTGAACTTACTTCATTTTCGAATGCATTTATTAACTGCAGAAAATTTCTTTGATGTTTGTTGGTTTCAGTTCTGTTACGGTGAGTGAGTGAGTTTGGATTTACGCCGCCTTTAGCAATATTCCAGCAACATCACGGCTGGGACACCCGAAATGGGCTTCACACATTGTACCCATGTGGGGAATCGATCTGATTCCAGATTTCAAATTTGAAACCAACAGGTAACAGTCGTCAAGTTAAATTAACCAAAGGGGGTGGGATGATCCCTGTACAGTTAGATGATATTGGCCCAGCGCCCTTGTTCCACGCAGTTAAGGCACCCAGTTGGATTTCTCCCAGGAAGCCTAGAGAGTGTCACAATCCCCGATTTATGTTATCCCCGTGCCACCTTACTTTAAAGCTTAGATGCAACCAAAAAAAGAAACATAATTAAAACACAAATTATCATTTATTCATGACATATTATATACACTGCTGATTAAGAAAAACCAAATAAATTAATCAGAAACGTACATTCACAAATCAAAAGTGTAAATATTTTGTACTTGGGTTTACTTCCCTCGAAACGAAGCACCCGGGATACCGAACCCAGTCAGAGCGGGTTGGCGTGCACGTAAGTGTACCGAAGTCTTTCATTGGTTGGTTCATTTACTGATACACTCAGGGCTCTTTGTGTGTGTATGGAGATGTTGAGTTTTGTAAATACATGCTCATTTTTGGGTTTTTTGATAATTTGTTACTGTACGTCCATGCCGAAAGGTATCAGAATCTGCAAAGTTGTGTTTTGCGTTGCATGTAAGCTTTAATGCACAAACCCTCGTGAATTCTAGATTTTCCTCAGGGTCAGAAATCTGCCACCCAACTGGAACTCTGGAACTGGAACTCTGGAACTGGAACTATTCAATGTAAATGAGTTCTTCTTTGTTTCTCTTTTTGGGGACAAACTAAGACTCCTGAACACTGAACCTTCCGCATAACCCAGAGTGCCAGAGGGACAGTGCTCCTGGCAGCAGTATACTTTGTCAATGTCAGACATTGGGAGTCGCCAAACCGAGTACAACGTTTACGCTTGCACATTACAAAGAATTACATACTCATCATTTTCTATTCAGGGGGCGGTGGGGTAGCCTAGTGCTTAAAGTGTTAGCTTGTCACGCCGAAGACCCGGGCACATGGGTACAATGTGTGAAGCCCATTTCTGTTGTCCCAGCCGTGATATTGCTGGAATATTGCTTAAAGCGGCGTAAAACTAAACTCACTCACTCGCCGTAATAGAACTGAAACCAACAAACATCAAAGAAATTTGCTGCAGTTAGCAAATGTATTCGAAAATGAAGTAAGTTCACAAATCATATATATATATCTCCCCAGTTGATTCCTAACAATGACGTCATCAGCGACGCATCATATGGGGTATATGTCCAGGCGACTCCGGGGTCAAAGAATTAGGACTCTCAGACCTTACAGATGACAGGTATTGACAGCACAGCACTGTCGTCAGAGATACTATGTCATATCAGACTCCCCAAGAAGAATGGCGATGTATTCTGAGTCGCAACATGGACGAGCCTCTGAACAAAAACACAAGCATGACAAACAGTTTACCTGTATTATTGAAACCATCATTAAATATGATGCAAACCATCTGATGCCAGCTGTGAAAAAACAATTTTATTGTATTCATAAAGTAATATAATTACGAATCAACAGGTATACAGCTTTAAACATTCCTATAAAATTTGTGTTGATCAACGTGCAGTCACGCACTACCAGCTTAATTTGCAAGTTTACAAAACAATTGGAGGGACAGTTGCGGCGACTAAAATGTCGAAACAGCCATTGCGAAGACGTACCTCATACTTACGACTGGAATCAAGGAAATTCGATTGGGGCATCGGGTTAAACAGAAGCTTCTTGTGATCATATATTATTCCTTCGATAGCGAGGATGAATGTTAAAGTTATACAGCTTTGAACCGCTATGTCCGTCAACGACCTCATCTCGAATTGCTTCTGTCGATGTTTAAGCTGGGGGCCGCGGGAGAATTCATTATTAATATCAATGTCATTTACTCATATAATTGAAACGAACATTAATATGTGCTGGAATTGCTCTTTCGTGTTAGCAGGTGTAATCAATTCAGTTTCATACTTCAGCAGTTACATTCGAATATCAGCGAAATATTTTATAATCAAACTTAACGACAGTTATTGCCTGATGGTATAGATACAATTGATATAAAATAAACCCCTAGGGGCATACAAAATATATTTTTTCACATACGTACATTAACAACATCGTCATTTATTAAAATCTATATTCAGACGCCCACTCCACGTATTATCATAACACCTCACAGCTTCTGAAATTAATATTCCTAATCACTATTTTACTCTGTCACTGTAGCACAAACATGTCCAATATACCTTTGATAAAGTCCACGTAGATGGGTCTGAATATTGAATATGAACGTATAGGCCCCGTGTCGCTTTTGGATTCCCTCCAGTATCAAGGTGAGTGGCTTAAAAACATGTTCAAAGCGGCATGTTACACAACTCACACATACTCACTCTTTACCAGAGGGGTGTGTGATATAATGATATAAAGTACAGAGACGTAACGACTTTCCGAATTTCTATAGGGAAATGCTTTCATATATCAGAAGTACAGGTCAAAGTCTGTTATATCTGTTGTCAGTTCATCTGGAAATAAACACTTCCCCATGATGGCCTTTAAGTTAATTTCCCGTTTCCGCCTTTTGTACAGAGGACGTTACTTAGCCAGTCGTGTCATCCTCGTTGAACAGACCCCTCGAATGCCCGCTGGCAACCGCTGTGTGAGAGAGAGAGAGAGAGAGAGAGAGAGAGAGAGAGAGAGAGAGAGAGAGAGAGAGAGAGAGAGAGAGAGAGAGAGAGAGAGAGAGAGAGAGAGCACGCCAAAAGGGGATATTTGGTAACAGAATGGATTGGTTAAAAAAACTGCATGTAAAACAACACGATAGAATCCTGGCCAGTACCATATCCACCACCCATTGCTCCTGTGTACCAGCAATCGTTCACGCTTCAATTCGGTACACGATAAGAGAAGTAACATGGTTGAAACCATTGCTCATCGCGGATAGCGGAAGAGGTTGTTATTGTCTTATTGAGGAATTCCTCGGGAAAATAAATTCACAATTCCCCAATCTATTTCTATTAGTCATTGCTGTAGATATACTTCCGACGCATAGTTTATTGTAACATTTGGTCTCGCTAATGTTCCTTTGATGATTCAACCTCCGCTTTATGTCGACAAAACGCTCAGCTCATTGGTAAAATTAACGAGAGTATTGTATACTCGTTTCATTTATCATCAATACTGTCGAATGTGTTACATTTATGTCAGCTAACATGACTGGTTGACAGGTGCACATTTAATGTTTCGTGAGATAATCATTAAAACAGCTTTATTGGTTTTTGAGTGTTGTCGTACACCGCAGTCATTTGTAATGGCCTTGGTAAGTGTATGATGTTGTACACCGCAGTCATTTGTAATGGCCTTGGTAAGTGTATGATGTTGTACACCGCAGTCATTTGTAGTGGCCTTGGTAAGTGTATGATGTTGTACAACGCAGTCATTTGTAATGGCCTTGGTAAGTGTATGATGTTGTACACCGCAGTCATTTTATAATGGCCTTGGTAAGTGAATGATGTTGTACAACGCAGTCATTTGTAATGGCCTTGGTAATGAATGATGTTGTACACCCGCAGTCATTTGTAATGGCCTTGGTAAGGTAAGTGTATGATGTTGTACAACGCAGTCATTTGTAATGTAATGTTGCCTTGGTAAGTGTATGAATGATGTTGTACAACGCAGTCATTTGTAATGGCCTTGGTAAGTGTATGATGTTGTACACCGCAGTCATTTGTAATTTGTAATGACCTTGTATGATGATGTTGTACACCGCAGTCATTTGTAATGACCTTGTAAGTAAAGATGACCAGTACACCGCAGTCATTTGTAATGATGGCCATTGTACAACGCAGTCATTTGTAATGGCCTTGGTAAGTGTATGAAGATGTCATTTGTAATGGCCTTGGTAAGTGAATGATGTCATTTTATTTGTGAATGATGTCATTTGTAATGGCCTTGGTACGATGACCTTGGTAAGTGTATGATGTTGTACAACGCAGTCATTTGTACAATGTTGTACAACGCAGTCATTAGTGATGCCTTGGTAAGTGTATGATGTTGTACAACGCAGTCATTTGTAATGATGACCTTGGTAAGGTGATGTTGTACAAGTGTAATGATGTTGTAACCGCAGTCATTTGTAATGATGACCTTGGTAAGTGTATGATGTTGTACAACGCAGTCATTTGTAATGGCCTTGGTAAGTGTATGATGTTGTACACCGCAGTCATTTGTAATGGCCTTGGTAAGTGTATGATGTTGTACAACGCAGTCATTTGTAATGGCCTTGGTAAGTGTATGATGTTGTACAACGCAGTCATTTGTAATGGCCTTGGTAAGTGTATGATGTTGTACAACGCAGTCATGTTGTAACGCAGGCCATTTGTTGGTAAGTGTATGATGTTGTACAACGCAGTCATTTGTAATGGCCTTGGTAAGTGTATGATGTTGTACAACGCAGTCATTTGTAATGGCCTTGGTAAGTGTATGATGTTGTACAACGCAGTCATTTGTAATGGCCTTGGTAAGTGTATGATGTTGTACACCGCAGTCATTTGTAATGGCCTTGGTAAGTGTATGATGTTGTACATCGCAGTCATTTGTAATGATGACCTTGGTAAGAGAATGATGTTGTACACCGCAGTCATTTGTAATGATGACCTTGGTAAGTGTATGATGTTGTACAACGCAGTCATTTGTAATGGCCTTGGTAAGTGTATGATGTTGTACACCGCAGTCATTTGTAATGATGACCTTGGTAAGTGTATGATGTTGTACACCGCAGTCATTTTGTAATGGCCTTGGTAAGTGTATGATGTTGTACACCGCAGTCATTTGTAATGATGACCTTGGTAAGAGAATGATGTTGTACACCGCAGTCATTTGTAATGACCTTGGTAAGCGAATGATGACGTTCTACACAATAGTCATTTGTAATGAATTTGCTAAGGTAGAAATCTAATGTCTTCACTTGTTATAGTCGTTGATATATTTACGTCGCCATTGTGACCTAACTATACAACAGTGTTGTGGATCTCGCCTTTGACAGGTGCTTTCTCCTGTGTTGAGACATCCCTACATTGTTGATCAAACGTGTGGTGGCCTGCCCAGTTGTTGTCAGATTCAGAGTGTGGACCTTGCACTGTGGATACTGCTTGTGTAACATGAGTTCAAGGCTATAACACTGAAATAGATGTTTCAGGTAATATCAGGTGGTACATAAACTGGCAGTTAACGACTCACCTTTAGCCGGAAATAAATGTCTACTTACAATGCATTACCATACAAGACCGGCGAGTGCAACTTTGCAAACTGCTACACGCCTAGCCTTGCTCCAAGGTTGTACTGAATGCTGAGCTCATGGATGTATAGTAATTCAACCCTCCAGAGAGGCAAGTCTAGACGCGCGGACCGCACAAGGGCGCCTCTCTGTTATGCCAGCCTGCAAGAGGAATATCTATATTTTTTAGAAATTAAGTTAACCTATTAGTTATTACCTCAGAGACTTGTGCAAGTCTACAGCACGCCATGCTCGTGCCGTTATATTCATATAATCGTTGGAAGAACAACCTAATACTGCCAATGCAGGCTTCCCCAGATAAAACCATTAAACCAAGAAACACATTTTGTTGGGATTAAACAAATATTACTTCAGGATGCGTTGTGCATGACTTACCAATTAATGCTTACGTAACACGTTATCTTTCGAGTAATACACTCTAAGTAAAGTACAAATTCCAGAACTTTTGGGAGGTGTGTCTCAGCCGGGAATCGAGCCGACCCTCTCAGAGTTCGGCACCAAATCACCAGCCCCCAAAGTCAGCGATAGAGACTCGGGGGACCATAAAATGGAAGTCCGACAACAAATATACCATCTTACATTGGAGCACTCTCTACAGAGCACCGTGTATTCATCATCGGTTATGTTGACTAACTACTAAAAGTACTGTCGGAAATGCTAGAAAAATGCTTTTTGACTTATATTTAAAATTCAGAGGTATTACAGTTACTTAAATAACAAATATCACTTCAAGAAACATCTACCTAATGTAGACCGAGGGAATAAATTTTGAGACATGCTCTAAAATGTGTTTTTACTGATGAAAATACCAAAAACTTAGAAAAATAAGGGGGTAGTGGGACGTTATTTGAAACAAACATTAACTGCCTGTGTTACGTCATCAGCATGCACGGTATCGACAGGTGAAATTGACACGTGAGCACACGCTCGGGCGAGGGGTCATCTCAATAGATGTTTTCTGCAAAATGTTGAATATGTGTACGTATAGTATACGTATCAGTTATATAAGGGATCATTTGTGCATGTGTGTTTGTTTTGAAATAAACATACGAATTACTGTACATTGGAAAGAATCCTATCACTTGTGTTATCTTATCGATTGATTGTAGAAATGTGCAACGTTTTAATAAATGTTTTGCATGTCAACAGTTTATTTCAATGAAAAAATATGGATGTAATTCGGTCAGTTTAATCTAGTTGTGAACATTGGCCACAGATTTAACGAAGTCACTGGTGTAGCTTCTTTAGAATATATATATTTTTCTTCTCATAAAGTTTGTAGACCGCCCGTCTAAGCACTCCCTTGTCAAAGTTGTCAAGGATGGTTTTACGTCCCGGTTTTGCATTTGAGACGGTCCCTGTCTTGTCTGATTTGTTTACAATATTGTAAACTTGTTGGTAAGACATGCCAACAGCTCTACACGTTCTGTAATTAACCCTTTCTAAACTAATGAAAGGTTTACCTCTGTCGTTTTTAAGCAGAAAAAAAACTATAAACCTTTGCAACAATCGACTGCAAATCGTTGGCCATAGTGGACGCTGTGATAAAGATGTGCATGCATGACGGGAAACTTATTTATCAAGACTTAACATTTATATTAATATTTCTTCAATAAAGAAAACGATAATTAAGTAAAGTAACACAAACATTCAACATTTATTTGTTTAGGAAAAACGTTAATTCATATTTTTTACACCACCTGTATTATTAGCATAAATGTAAAGACTATTTCAGATTTCTGTTGTTGAACTGAAAAAATCTTAAGTTGCTGTTTTGGTACCAAATTCTCTCCTGTAAACTGCCCTTTAAATGCATCGGAATGTTAAATCGATTGAAATAAAAATTAGGTAGACAATAGGCGAGTTGATATATTGACAACATAGTATATTTATCACCTTTGTAAAGATATTAAGGCTAAAAAGCATTTTTCTAGCCTTTCCGACAGTGCTTTAGTATACTCCCTGACTGAGAGTGAGTCTCATCGATGACGCTGGTGACAATGTACGTTTTCTAGATCTCGTACATCTATTCGTGACTTTTCTATCGGGATATATGGCGCATAAGAATTAATTATATCAGTTAATGTATCCTAAACAATGTTCTCCAAATCATAACGCGAACCTAACGCGACACTGGGTCCCGATCCAGAAAGCGTTCGTAGCGCTACGACATTCGTAAGCCTACGAACTTCGTAAGCCTATGATAAACTATAGAGTTACGACAATGAAAATGGAACAGTGTAATCATCAGGTGAACTTTGATTGAGAAATCTGCAGTCTTTCTCCACACAGGTCGAACTGTGGCCAAGGCCGGAGATACGAGTTATATGATACAGTGATACCTATTATACTTGATAACATGTACTGTATTTTCTCTAATAAGCGTTCCCACACTTCCAAAGAAATTTCCAAACGACGGGGGTAATACAGGCAGCCTCAAATCAAACCCTTAAAACAATCCAGACAGTAATCATGGCTTAGATTCATCTCTGGTTAAACTCTCCTCATCCCAACTCACTCGTTCGTGTAAAACTAACAAAGGTGAAAATCCTGCCTGATCATATTGTTAGTGCTGATCTATGGAGGCTCTATAACTGAATAGATAGAGAACTATATGATAATAATAACATAACAGGGGTGGATGCAGCTTCTTGAGAAAGGGGGGGGGTTGCACAGTTCATTTTCAACCGTTTTCACGAGAGTTTCAATGGTCATTTGATAAACTTTCAGGACAAAAGGAGGGGTGGGGTGGGGTGAGGTTGGGGTTGGCTGTGCACCCCTTTGGATCCGCCTATGCATAACGTTAAATGTACATATTCATGTGTCACCTCAAAACGTATTGTAACGTGAAATCATTTATGTAACTGAAAATAAAAACGGAACGTTGATTACTTGAATGTAAACGTGCATGTTTAACGTAGGTGTGTTATTTGTGGGTATGTGGGTGAGTGGGAAGGTGTGGTGTGCGTACTGATTGAATCACACGAGTCCCGTCCCCTCCAGTACCCTCAACCGTCGCCTATACTGGTTTCCATATTTAATACTCACGGGCTATATTTACTGTTTCATAAATCGGGGCGGTGGGGTAGTCTAGTGGTTAAAGCGTTGGCTCGTCACGCCGAAGACCCGGGTTCGAATCCCCACGGAACAAAATGAGTTCATCGCTTCGATCTCATACTTACTGGTCTGTCAATGTCATAGTGAGTGAGTGAGTTTAGTTTTACGCCGCACTCAGCAATATTCCAGTCTGTAAATAATCGAGTCTGGACCAGATAATCCAGTGATCAACAGCATGAGCATCGATCTGCGCAAATGGGAACCGATGACATGTGTCAGCCAAGCCAGCGAGCCTGACCACTCGATCCCGTTAGTCGCCTCTTACGACAAGCATGGGTTACTGAAGGTTCATTCTAGCCCGGACCTTCACGGGTTGTCAATGTCATAGATCGTATGGAGGGTATCTATACCCTGAGATAAACATATCCAAGACAGCCCATGCAAGTCTTGAATATGTGGCAAGTCTAGCTAGATTACCACAGACGAAAGTCTCTGTTCGCCTTTCATTATATTTATTAACGGTACCGTTTTTGTTGTAAACTGTTCATTTCAGAGACGATATGCTAGTCTACCTGTAAACACACATGACAAAATACCAACGAACATGGGGAAAATTTCGCAATACCTTAGCAATCGATTGTAACAAGGAAAACCCATAATTCGTCCGGTGTTCACGAGGAACCTGATTTGGCCGCATTTCATTGTGATACGGAAATACAAAGCATTACTTGATCTTGGTCACCGGGTATTAACAGCAGACCATGCATCGATTAGATATTTATAACCGATAAAGCCGGCATCGAAGCTCGGTGAACACGCCTCGCAATCATTCGAGGCTTTTGTAATGTGTCTGTTGCCTTGGAACCTTTCACTCTATTCTGAACTTCCTGAATACAACCCCACTAAAGTATTCAACCGAAACGACGCGACACCTCTCAGTAATATCACCATGTGACTCGTTGAGTTGTAAACACGAACCATCGTGACCCCAAGAAGCTACAGTTTTACCTAAAACAACTTGTATTGATATATAATGAAAATAAGAAATATGACACATGATATATAAGGATATTATCTTTATATCCTATTATTTGTGAACATCCTTAGTAATCATTGTCCATGAATGAAAGGTGTTAATACAGATGATCATATATATTACCTTTGCAACATAAAAAGCTGTATTGAGATAGTTGTCAACCAAGTAGCTCGAATACGAAAGTAATCATCACGTGCATAGTCACATGATCCATTGTGTGGACCGGCCGGGAAGTGTGGTGCAGCTACCAGGAGACGTTCAGTAAGACTTGTTTTCAGCGATCAGAAATGAAGTATTGTTCAAGCGTGGTCGCCTTTGCCTTTTTGGCTGTTGGCGTTGCTTTTGCAGCGGTGCTCCATTACGACCCACTGAAGATAACTTCTAGATTAGAATCGGAAATGGAGGATCTTATGCAACTGGTGATGAAACCTCACACACTCAGCAGATATATACCTCTGGAGGTATACAAGAAGATGGTAAGAGAAGCTTGCATTTGTCAGATGACGAAACTAACAAAAAAAACCCGTATCGTCCAGTTACAGATTTACGACAATCGTCCATTAAACAGATTCGCCATAATTGTCGTGATTGGTTTGTCGGGACAAGCAGGTGAGCTGGGGAACGTGTCAGTTGTCGCTTCCTCCCACTTTCAGCCGACACGCTGAATAGGTAAATATATTTGTACATGATATCGTTTATGGCAGTTTTGGACACAACTGAGCCCAAGTAACATGTTACTTATCGAGTTTCCAAGCGGGGAGCCATGTTAACAAACCTGTGTTAACTACAGATAGAAGTCTGTATTTCTTCCTGGCCACAAGTCCTGTATTATCATGCTCAGACTTGGCGATCGAGGTAAAAGACAACTGATAGGGTCGGGGAGTCTGGCATGTCGGCACGAACCGTCAAAGCACAAGTTGCATAGGTTCTCATTAGATCAACCACTGGCTTGTCTGTTCCAGACATGATCGATTATTCTACATACTGCTGTCATGTAGCTGGAATATAGCTGATTGCTAAAATGAAGTACTTCTGCTATTGAATACATGATCTGAGGTAAAATAAATTGTGAAAATGTTGTGTGGCTATCCCTTCACTATCTTGGTGCATTTGAGGCCATGTGGTAACAGAGTTGTGTCCCCTAGATTAGCCCAAATCCTGTGATGCAGCCCAGAACATGATCCTTAGTTGTGACCCAGGAATGTGAGTGTAAAGTCATTTGCATCACTTTGTTTTGCCCGCTGACGTTAAGCTGTGATATAACTAATATTCTGATCCAAGCATTTGAAGGTGCATCTCACTTGCTTTTGGCTGTCTTGCTCACACAGTGTATTTTTTCTATTAAACATTATTCTACCAATAACTCACAGTGGCATATGCTTTTTAAACAAACATTAAAGATTTTTAAAAAGCAATGTTCCAATCATGCTATTGTAGACAAAGACAACAAAGTTTGCAACAACATCTGCTATAGTTGTTAAATGTATTCAGGGCCTGAACCCAAGCACTCGTCTGACGGATTACAGATGGAAGAACTGTGGCAACCCATCTATGGAAAACCTGATCATCAATGACATCAAGTTCTCCCCTGACCCTATCTCTCTCGCCGGGACTCTCACCGTCTCCTTCAGCATCAACCTCAAAGTAACAGTTGCAAGTCAACTTAAGGTGGGCTGTTTTCATTGTTTTTCATTTGTATTGTGTCATATCCATTCTCACCATGTTTGAATTTTGTACTGTTCCTAGTTGAGTTGATAAAAAAGCTCCATCCAACTGTTAGATAACAATGTAGCAGCCCTTTGATGTAAGTCATCTTAAACTCTTAGCAATTTACATTCAAGATTCCATGAACCTGATCTTCCCAATTATAAATTTATAAATATTTTCTCTTGCTCTCTTGTTCAAAATACTTTTTATTGTATTAACTGTATGTATGCCTGAAGCCTTAATATTGAATCATAATGATTGACCCATAACGATTTGAGGTATCCAGCATGATTTATAGGATTTGTCCCCTAAGAATGTTTGACAAAGTTTTGTTATAGTGATAAAATGACAATCTCTGTGAAGTGCCTGAATGAGAGAAGATGCTGCCATGAACATTCCAACAGATCAGCCCCAGGATCCTCTATATTCTATCTATGAACTGATCAATCAGTGATATCTCACAATAGAAAGAATGGTGCAATGAGAGCATTCAAGCACGATGTTAAGCCCAATTTTTTTCAGTATAAAACTGATACAGGAGAACTAGGTGATATGAGACAATACACAAATATGTCTTGAATAGCAGGTGCAGATAAGGAAAACTTTTATCAGTTGCAGTTTGGAGAGTCCTTGTTTGCTGATGAAGTTGGACAATGCTTTTCAAATTCAAAAGGAATTATTTGTAAAAACTCCTGTTTTGAGACTGAACCTGAACATAATGCATCTTTTTGGGCATTATAAGTTAATCCAACTGTATTGAAAGCCTTCCTGTTTCACTTTATTCAGATCCATGACTTATCTTATCATGCTATAACACAGTGTGGGCGGTGGGGTAGCCTAATGGTTAAAGCGTTCGCTCGACACACTGAAGACCTGGGTTCAATTCCCCACATGGTGCAATGTGTGAAGCCCATTTCTGGTGTCCCCTGCCATGATATTGCTGGAATATTGCTAAAAGTGTCGTAAAACCATACTCACTCACTCAATATAACACAGTGCCTGATATTAAGACTCACTTGACAGCAGTGTTTTGTATGTTATCGAAATAGTGCATGATTTACAAGCCATGGAACAATATTTTCAATGTGCCCTGGCGGCAAGACTAAAGTTATACAAATAATGAATAATGTTAATCGAAAATGCGATAAATTTGACCAGCTCAAAAGATTCTAAACCTACTTTTGCACCCAGTCAAACTTTTTATCAGTGGCACAATCAATCTCAAAGCTTTTCATGGGTGTGGCTACTTTGAATGCTACTGCGCATTCCGTTTTAGATGATAACATGGTTTGGGGATTAATCAGTCTAAGTAAACTTAGGCTCAGTATTATTCGTTACACTGCTATACTGAGTCTAACGAAACCTTGTAGAAGGTCTGATCAGGTAACCTTTGAGCGACCTATGACCGCCGAACGGATTTAACCAATCAGACAACGACTACTTGTTAGGGTTCGCGCGACAAAACGTTTTTTGAATTTTCTCTTCCCTGGTCGCTGACACCGATCTATCAACAAACTAAAATCCACATAATACACAGATATTTGACCTGCAGTGTATACGCTTATGGGTTCCTAATAACATGGTTACTATTTGCTTATATTTTCGCAAGATGACATCCTTGAATATTGACAAAAACGCTATTTTCAGCGACTGTTAACTCATTGCGTGTATCACTCGGAAGCGATCATGTGGAAAATAGCATTCGAATCGTTCAAGTTTTTTAGGTAAAGCTTTAACGGTATGTGCCAATGTTAACTTTCGCGATTTGGTAAGCTGTGTTCTGATTGGTCAGTCCAAAAGGTTAGCTGACGCGACCTTCTACAAGGTTTTGTTATACTCAGTATAGCAGTGTAACGAATAGTACTGAGCCTAAGTTTACTTAGACCAGGGGTTAATTGAAGAGTCTGTGATAAACTAAGCAGAACTATTTTGCAGTCATGATAGTGTTAAGGAAATCTATTTTTCAAGTTTACATGATGTTTACTGATTTAATAATAATATCCACTATGTTCTTGTTGCCTTTCAGGGAGTGGTCCTGCTGGAGAAGCAGGTTGCTGGGAGCTGGATTGAGCTGCCATGTATCGGCAACATTGGCTCCTGCACTTACGACGACATCTGCCCACTGCTCAGCCAGATAGGCCAGTGTCCTCCTGAATTTAATGCAGCCGGCATCCCATGCAAATGCCCCTTAAATGCAGTGAGTACATTAGCTGGATGAATAGCATGAGTGCATGTTAGGTGGACACTGGTGAAGTGTAACTATCAAGATGTCTTATAAACGGTGTTCACTTTCTTTCTTAGCTAAGCTAAAGTTTAATAGCAGTTTGTATTTTCCTTCTTCAAAAAAGAATATCTGAATGTTAGGAATGAAATGTGAGACAGACTTTTTATTATTTTTCAAGTGATCACCATATATATTTGCAGGGCAACTACACACTTCCTGGTGCCAGCTTTGAGATCGATGCCAGCTTCCTACCATCCGGAGACTACCACATCCGTGCCAACCTCACCCATGGTGCTGTTGATGGTGGCTGCTATGACATCTATGCTTCTTTTGCATAGTAAGTAGAGAGGGTCTTCGTGTTTGGGTGACCTATTTCCAGAAATGTGTGTGTGTGCATGCGTCCTAATGGTTGAAACATTCACTCATCAAGCCAAAGACCCAGGTTCGATTCCCCACATGGGTACAATGAGTGAAGCCCATTTCTGGTGTCCCCACCGCGTGATATTGCTGGAATATTGCTAATAGGGCATAAAACCATACACTCACTTATCACTCAGAAGCGATCGTGTGGAAAATAGCATTCGGAATCGTTCGAGTTTTTTAGGTAAAGCTTCAACGGTATGTGCGAATGTTAACTTTCGCAATTTGGTAAGCTGTGTTCTGATTGGTCAGACCAAAAGGTTAGCTGATGCGACCTTCTACAAGGTTTTGTTAGACTCAGTACAGCAGTGTAATGAATAGTACTGAGCCTAAGTTTACTTAGACCGGGGGTTAATTGAAGAGTCTGGGATAAACTAAGCAGAACTATTTTTGCAGTCATGATAGTGTTAAGGAAATCCAGGTTTCAAGTTTACATGATGTTTAATGATTTAATAATAATAATATCCACTATGTTCTTGTTGCCTTTCAGGGAGTGGTCCTGCTGGAGAAGCAGGTTGCTGGGAGCTGGATTGAGCTGCCATGTATCGGCAACATTGGCTCCTGCACTTATGACGACATCTGCCCACTGCTCAGCCAGATAGGCCAGTGTCCTCCTGAATTTAATGCAGCCGGCATCCCATGCAAATGCCCCTTAAATGCAGTGAGTACATTAGCTGGATGAATAGCATGAGTGCATGTTAGGTGGACACTGGTGAAGTGTAACTATCAAGATGTCTTATAAACGGTGTTCACTTTCTTTCTTAGCTAAGCTAAAGTTTAATAGCAGTTTGTATTTTCCTTCTTCAAAAAAGAATATCTGAATGTTAGGAATGAAATGTGAGACAGACTTTTTATTATTTTTCAAGTGATCACCATATATATTTGCAGGGCAACTACACACTTCCTGGTGCCAGCTTTGAGATCGATGCCAGCTTCCTACCATCCGGAGACTACCACATCCGTGCCAACCTCACCCATGGTGCTGTTGATGGTGGCTGCTATGACATCTATGCTTCTTTTGCATAGTAAGTAGACAGGTTATTCATATTTAAGTGACCTATTTTCCAGAAATGTGTGCGTGCGCCCTAATGGTTGAAACATTCACTCATCAAGCCAAAGACCCAGGTTCGATTCCCCACATGGGTACAATGAGTGAAGGCCATTTCTGGTGTCCCCCGCCGTGATATTGCTGGAATATTGCTAAAAGCGGCATAAAACCATACTCACTCAATTCAGAAATATGGAATGTCTGAATTGTTTAAAAAAAATTCAACTTCATATAAATAATTTGAATATTTATTAGTGCAATTGTCAGTATTTTGCTAAAATACTGTGTGGGCATGCTAAATAATAAAAAAAATAATAATAATGTTTGATTCAAGTTCCGGGTGTAACTCAGTATCAAGTTGAATCAAATCTTACTGTCCTCTGACCACCTGACCTCTGCCCCCACTCCGATATCAGTACCTGTCAATCATCTCAATAAGCGTGCAGATCGCTCAGATGATCACGTGTCATTCTCTTTCTTGTCGCTACGCCGTGTGGACGTGTGCTTGTCTCAAAGAAAGTTTGATTGTGTTTCAACATGGGTAAATCGAATCGTAATGGTTTTGAGAAGCACAAACATTGTGACAATTGTAACAGTAACTTATCCGTGGCAGATCCACATGCTTTATGTGTAGATTGTTTATGTCATTGTGATTGGTCTCATCGTTGCACTTTTGTGCTGACCTCTACGACGATGCTTTCTCTGAATATCGCGGGTAGCTTGTAGACGCATGTCAGATAGGTATTGTAACGTAAAACATCTGAGGTTCCGGTCTGCGTCTAAATGTCCTAAGGCAGAACGCCGTAAAGAAAACTGCGGTTCGACGCGTTCGAAGTCCCGTCTCCCAATGAGGATTTCCTAGAGGAGGCGTCTGATTCTTACCTCAGTGAAAATCTGCGTCGACATTTCCGTCCGCATGCATCCAGCCCTATCACATTAGAGGACTCCTCACCACCTGGGGTTGTCCTTTTATCTACATCTGCTGTTCAACCCCGTCCGTCTTCGGTGGTGACTGTACCCAGCACCCCTATGTTCCTTCGGTGGGAGTTTCTGTTCGGGCTCCCTCACAGTGCATTCTGTTCGGCGCTTGCTCACAGTCCGTCGGGTTCAGCACTTACTCCCAGTGTTTCTGGTTCGGCGCTTGGTACACTCAGCTCAGCTCTTACTTTCAATGCGTCACTTGCTACCTGCTCGGCACTTGTTTCTTCTGCTACACTGGTACCCGGTGCCCCGCTTATTCCCAGTGCGACGCTTAGTACACCATATGTTTCCAATGCGTCACTTCTTTCTACTCATGTGGCGTCTTCAGCAGTGGGAGCGCCACTTTCGATGAGTACTAATGTTTCCTCTTATGACACAGTCACAGCTGGGTTTGGTTTACCACCTAGAGCGGCGAGTGTGAGGGACCCTACGCTTTCATCGTTCATCATGGGAAATTGTCTCACTCAGCTGGTTGCTCGTCTTCTCTTAGTGGGGCGCTTCGTCATCCCCTCAGTGTCTGCTACTGTTTCGTCTTTGCCTCCTCCATCGGGGCCTGTGACGAGACCTATTTTACCGGTCTCCTGGAATCTGGTGTCTGAGGGTTTGACTTCTCAACCTGTTGACTTTGACGCCATTGTGCAAGCGGTAGCCTTGGCTTTATGTCATCAGGCTCCAGCATCTTCCTCTGCTATTCAGTCAACACTTGGAGGAAGCTCATCGTTTGGCTACGCCATCTCCCTCTTCAGATGGTATGTCCCCTACGGATGTTAGCATTGATGCTGTTGAAACACCCCAATCATGTTCATGGTTTCTCTATGCTGATCGTCTCCCCACCTGCGGATGATGATATTACGTTGTTGGGATCCAAACAGAGAGCCTACTCGCCGTTTCTGGTCAAGGATCATGATCTCTTGCATTTGGATGGTGTTATTAGGAAGATTATGGTTCCCCTCAACATGGTTTAGACGACAACTGAGGCGGTGGCTATGTCTGTCTCACATGCAACTTCCCATCAACAGGCGTATATTCGGGCGGCGATGATGCTCTTACAAGAACAGTTTCAGGCCATCTTGGATCAGTTGGCTCATTTCTTCTCTTACGTTACAGTGATGCGTCGTAGGGGGCCTCTTCACTTATCCTCATAGGGGGATAGGTTCCGAACTGATCTTTTGCGCCAACCGTGGTCTGACAGGTCACTTTTCAATGGGGCGATTAGAGATGTAGCCACCAGAGTCAGTCAAGATGCTCATTTACAGGTTTCGGTGGAATTGTTGAAATTCCAACGATTGCAGGTAGAGGACTCGCTGCGCCAACGACAGCCAGCTCGTTATATTCCTTCCAATCCGTACCTTCATTCGGGATCTGCTGCTTCCTTATGTGGAAAGGGTTCGTCCAGAGGACGTTCCAGCCTTCAGCTTTGGGCATTCACTGCTTCACGGCCAACTTCCGGTTCCGACCAGTCCTCCTCTCAAATGCCTGACAAACAATGACTTGCTGACATTAGAGAGCGACTGGGTTCTTCCGGCCCCAGTCGTGTCCATCCAGACCTCCCCAGTAGGTGGAAGACTTGGGATTTATGCTCCCAATTGGACCATCTTGGATGACCCTTTCATCCTCTCCACTTTGTCCAAGGGGTTTAAGCTTCTGATCATCGGCAATCCTCCTCTGACTTTACTTCCGGATAACAGAACGTATACCGCTCAGCAAACAGCTGTTCTACGATCCTTCGACACCTTACTCAAGAAACTTGTGATCGACCCGGGATTCTACTCTCCAATCTTTCTGGTTCCCAAGAAGGATTCGGACAAGTTGAGACTAATTTTCAACATGAAGGTCTTCAACGAGATGTTTCTGCAGTCTCCGCCCCATTTCCGCATGGTGTGGGTGGCCCTACTCAAGACCATTATCAAACCGGGAGACTACATGGTCAGTCTCGATCTCCAGGATGCGTACCTTTACATCCTGATCTTCCCGGCCAATCGCAAGTTCCTTCGGTTTGTCTTCGAGGGCACCCACTATCAGTGGCGTGTCCTCCCGTTTGGAATTCTTCGGCCACGTGACTGTTTACACGGATGATGAAGCCTATCACCAGTTTCCTCCACCGCAAGGGGATAGTTTCGAAGCTAACATCGACGCCTGCATTCAGGCGATTATGCCCTTCTGCTTTGTCACATGCAGTTTGGGATGCAGCTTCTTCGCCAATTAGGCTGGTTAGTCAATCTGCAGAAGTCGGAACTAGTCCCTACTCGCCGTCTTCAATTCATTGGAGCAGTGTTCGACACAGAGATCAACAAACTGCTTGTCCCTCAGGGGTCAACTGTGACTTCGGCCCTTGCAGTTTTTCCTGCCACATCGCCTTACATCAGAGTGGGCGATCCGTTTGCCTTGATCACTCTGCCTCCGGAGCTCCATCCCCATCTCCTGTGGTGGATCCAAGAGTTGAACGTTTGCGGTGGAGTTTACTTAGGGCCGTTAGTTACGTCTCACCATCTGTATGTGGACGCATCTCTACACGGGTGGGGGGCTCATCTTCTCTGTCAGCAAGTGGCAGGGGAGTGGTCTCTCGCAGATCGCGACATGGCAAGATGTCCTATGAGCAACTTCCCTCATGGTCCGATCGGAGTACGCAGCTGTGGACACAACAGTTCTTCGACCTTGTGGACTCTCTCAATATCTCTGCGCGAGCCAACCATGTTCCAGGGGTGAAGAACGTCATTGCGGATTCTCTGTCCCGGCCGAGTCGTCCCTCCCCAACAGAGTGGATATTACATACTCAGGTGTTCCAGACCTTCTGCCATCCGTTGACGACTCCGACAGTGGATCTCTTCGCCACCTGGTTCAACCATCAGCTACCTCTGTGTCTCCGATTCCGGGCCCTCTGGTTTGGGGTCACGATGCTCTAGCCATTCCATTGGACGACCTAAACGCTTACGCGTTTCCGCCAGTGGCCCTTCTTCCTCGCATACTACTGAAACTGCGCGCAACTCAGCGGATGACACTGCTTTTGGTCGCACCCTACTGGCCGGCCAGAAGTTGGTTTGTAAATTTCAAGAACTAGCCAAACCAAATCCGGTACCACTTCCCGATCGGATCGATCTACTGGTTCATTCGCACTCCAACCAGCTACATTGGTCTCCGCTCATGCTCCATCTTCACGTTTGGCACATTTACATCGGTCGTTAACGGCTAAGGGCTATTCGAGGCGTGTTGCTACTGCCATTACTACAGCGCATCACACCTCCACAAGGTCAATGACAAGTGGAAGAATTTTGAAGCGTATTGCAGGAAGAAGGGCATAACATCTCCCACTACGGCATCTCCGCAGATGGTGGCAGAGTACCTTCAGCGTCTCCGAACCTCCAGAAAGCTTAAAGGTTCTAAGTTATCCACTTACATGGCTGCCCTTAACACGGTTATTGCGTCGGCCTCGGGTGTGAAGGTGTCCACTGTCCCTGAACTCCAATCTCTCCTCAGGTCTTATAAACTTGCTGACCAATCCCGGAATTTCTTGCCTGCAGCTTGGGATCTTTCCGTTGTACTGGCTCATCTCACGTCAGCTGATTATGAACCTCTGGAGGAGAAAGATTTCGAGCATGTCACCTTTAAGACATTCTTTCTCTTGGCCTTGGCCACATGCTAGAGTGTTCCTTGGTTTGAGGTGGGATTTACGTCAGTGAAGTGTTGATTTCGGACTACCTACATGGTTTTCGAGGCGTTCTGCTCCTAAAGTCCTTTCTTACCTTTGGTAGGTTAGGGGGATTGGTACTGAACGTTAAACTAGTTGAGAAACCGGGCTATTGTTTAACCGTGTTGACTATGGAGCCTAGTGCCAGTTTACTGTTAGAGCTATCTGAGTGTGGATTATTGTTCCTGCATTGCTAGGGCATATTCCAGTTTCCATATGATTCACAGTGTATTGGTGTCAGTTGTAACAGCCTCAGTCCTGCTGCTGTTGACAGTAATGTTAATGGATTATACATAAAAAACTTGTATAGTTTAGCCTTAAATTGCGACAGTTGCCAATTTTTGTGTAGGCTAATAACTAGGAGTATTACCGGTATATCACATTACGCTTCTCACACGATATGCATTGCTATATTTTTTCTGAGAACAGGTATATGCAGTTAAGAACATATGAAGTTTTTGTGATTATCTTTATGGTTTAAATTAAGGTCTACACAGACTTTAATTCACAACAAATGTTTTCCATTGTTATTCAATGACAAAACAGCATACTGTAATACAATAAACTGTATAAAAAAGAAAATAGAATCCCTGACTATGCAACCAACTTTTGAAATTGCTGTTACCATAATATGTTTGTTTAGGGACTTAAAAATGTAGGAAATAGACTTGAAATGCACAAACACACAAGTTCCCAATGTATCGCAATACATAACGCAATATGGGTACCTGAATCGCAATATATGCAATACAAATTATTTGCCAATACACAGCCCTACTACTTATATTATTCACTTGCCAGTACATCTGAACAACAAATTGCTTCTTGTCTTCATGTTCTCACAACTCATTAATACTTGGACATTGGTTTTTCAGAATGAAGTGACCTGGTTTCTACATTACAGGGAGCAAAGTGAAGACACTAAAACAACAATACAATATTGTCCATGTTCTTTCAACACATTCCACAGGTGTGTTTATGTGCATAAGTTTTTAATGAGATTTTCCCCTATCTGTACATAGTGTCAAACTCTACTCACCCTGCATGTAGATAGTTATACACTAATATATCGTAATATCAAGATATTTGAAGTTATTTGTTAACGTTAAGCGTTGATCAGAACGTGAAGAATAGGATGAATTTATAACTCATCGCTACTCTGAATAAGTTCCAAAGATATATTTAAAAGATGTTTTTTTGTAAAGAGTGTTTTGAAACATTTTTGTATTATTTATTAATTTCTCAAGTGAATTAAAGTCAAAGGATGAATGTGATCAGTGTCATTTTTTGGTGTTTGTTATTTAGCTAAGATGAAAAATATGTACTTCAACATCCTGGTGAACACTTTTCAACATGAGGTCATGTGTGATTACTTTATATATGCAGTTACACACCTTTTTTTAACCCACCTGATAAATTCTTAAGAATAATTCAATGATTCAGCTGCAAATGACACATTCTATTGATTAAGGTGATATGCAGTCATGATGATCAAGGGAGAGAACTTTTGATTCACTAATGTATGTAATTGTGCCCATGCAATTGTTTTGAAATCCGAGTTTCTGGTTATAGGGCAATGAAAGATTGTCAGCATCATCTACATATGTTGTTAGTAATTGTTAGTGATTTTTAAATCTTGATATGGTAGTAGGTATGAAAGTCATCTAAACTTTGGCATATGTAGAATTTAAAGAGATACCAAAGGCCAGGGTATTTGTGTGAGCATGAAGTGCAATTACTGATGAATATTTTAGTATATTTGTTTGGTGATGATCAAATCTCCTTGTTGCATGGATAGTTGTGAAATGAACAATGCTTGTCTTAGGCAGACTAAGAATTTTCTATAATCATCCATTAATTAGCCAAATATGACACTGTCGTCTTTAGAGATGACATTGTATCAGTTTTGATATATGATCAATTTTCTTTTTAAATGAACAAATCATTTGGGTCGGTTTCAGATAGCGTTATTGACCAACTAACTTGGTTTATTTAATGTTCATCGGTCAGTGTAATGACCACACCTTGAGCATGTTTCTACTTCTGAGAAATAACTGTACTCTTGTTTCATTACATTTAGCCAAGTGGTTCAAGTGTTTGCTTGTCACTTGGGATATTTTGGTTTCATTCCCCGCTCTGGTGCAATTAATGCAGTCAATACATGGCGTCTCTTGCCTAACTATTGTTGGAATATTGCCAGGTGAGGTGGAAGTTCATCCTCATTCATTTCTTCATTGTCTATTTACATCTGAAACATAACTTCTCAACTGAAAGTAGGTCTCAGAATAAAACATTTTATAAAAGAATCTGTTTTTGTTTGTGTGTAATCAGTCAATGTATGGTCATGGCCTGTTTGTTAAGAACAACCTATGATTATCTAATTGTGTTAAGTACTTAGGACTTTCAGAATCAGTAACTGAAGTAGGATTAATGGACAGAGGCAAAATGCGAGGTAGTTGGACAGTTGAAGAGTGAGCCAGTGAGTTTAGGTTTACGCCACACTCAGCAATATTCCAGCTATTTGGCGGGCGGTCTGTAAATAATCGAGTCTGGACCAGACAATACAGTGATCAACAGCATTAGCATCGATCTCTGCAATTGGGATACAATGACATGTGTCAACCAAGTCTGCAAGCCTGACCACCCGATCCCTTTAGTCGCCACTTACGACAAGCATGGGTTACTGAAGATCAATTCTAACCCGGATCTTCATGGGTGACTGTTGAAGAGCAGATTGTGATTTCCCATACTGAAGGCACCAATGCATATTTTCGACCGTTTGTCTTGGTCCCAGACATCTGTGTGTACTTTAAATTCATTTCTCTAAAAGCAGACTGCAGTTATGAAGTATATCGTTTCCAATATGATGTATCGGAAGAATAGGTACCTACCCTTCTCTTTTTGTAATCTGTCAGTATATATACATGTGCATACAAAGAAATCAAACTAGTAATTCATTGTGCCCAACTAATGTTCATTTGACTTATAGACAGTCAACTGAATTTAAAAGAAAATCGGTTTCTGTAAGTATTGAAATATATTCTCAGAAGCATGAGGAATGGGAAGTGAAACCATTGTCGGAATGAAAAGGAATGTTGTTATATGCTTTCTTCCAGATTGTTCTAGGAAACATGAAGACTCCATTCCAAGCTCCACTCCAAGACTCCACTACAAGACCCCACCCCGCTTGACACCCCTTTCTACAGTATGCCGTGGCAATAGCCTGTCTCGCAGTCCCTTAACCATTTTGTTTCCATTTAGTCCACCCAAACGCCGGCCCCAGGTATTACAAACACAAATTCAATATGTAAACCATTATTAATTTAAATTATTAATCAGTCAACATGTGATAATGGCAACACCCACCCTACCCCAGTTCCCCATTTCTGGAAATTCACGAAACAAGTCTGTAGAGTTATTATGGTAATATCAAAATCAGTCTGAATATATATATGTTTGTTCTTCACATATCGTTCTGTTGTGCCTTATAAGATTATCATGAGACCTGTGTTGAATAATTATCCGTTTCCTCGTCTAGGTGTGTCTCTCCCTGCCTCATCACCTTTGCATGCCAAGGCCTTGCTCCAAGGCTGTTTTTAATGATAAATGTATCCTCATAATAAACAAGTTCGATAAGCGGACAGTGCCTGAGAACTGGTTCTTATTATCTACATAACCTTCACAAATGTATCTTTAAACAAACAATTATTCCCTGAAAGACATTTTATCGTGTTGTGTGGGCCGTGGCTGAAGCTGACACTGACGCCGAAGATCAGTGACAGCTGTTTCTACACTGTTTCTTAACACCTACTTTTGTCTAATCCAATATTCCATTCTAGTGTGCAAATAATATTAACAGACTGTGAAGATAGTAAAGTTTTAACGTATTAAGTCTGGTCCCGGGCGCTTTTTCTCCCAGTTCAAGCTACCGAATGCCAAGAGTTGCGCGTTTCTAAGGTAAAATTTAATAGCTTAAATAATAATTTCTTTTAAAAATTAAATAAGAGACTGGGGTTGTACTGTCCGCTTATCTAGACGTGCCTCTTCGAAGGATAGAATTACTATATATTCATGTGCTCAGCATTCACTACAGCCTTGGAGCAAGGCTACCGAATGCCAAGTATAAAACATATTGAAAATGTATCTTTAACAGCGCTTTGTTGATATACACCAAAAGAATACAAACAGCTGTGGGTTGTGAGGCCGGAACATTTATTGTGGGTCTATGTATGAAACAGCCTGAAAGAACATAAGGAAGTATATTAAATGGCATCTGGTAAGATTTCCGCCCGTATCTCCCCTAAACTGTAACGATGAGGAACAATTTCTTTCGGGAATATATATTCAGGTGATATGATTTAACTAGAATGAAATTTAAGGGAGGGGATACGGGCAGAAGTCTTTCCCTATATGACAAGTTATTCTTCCTTCAGAAGTACAAAACAGCATGTGGGTTTAACATGAGCCTGAAGTTAAGCTGTGGCCAGCTTGGCCAATCAGTGAAACAATAGAAATGGCTGACAGGTGGGGCAAGGAGTGTTGTAAGCATGCAGTGTGACAATTAGTGGAGGTTAGTCCGAGAGTAACAAGGCTTACTATGCAGAGCTATGGACTGAGAATAAAATAAAGAATAAAACATAACTAAGATTCAATCTATCTACCATATAAAACATACCTATGGTTCTTACAGAGTTTCTTATTGTTAAATATAGTAAGTAAATAAATGGAATAATGTCTTCCACCTTACTCAATATAATCTTCATAAATTTTATTAAAAAACTATGTACATATATATATATATATACTGAAAGGCAAAAGAAACGTCGTAATATTGGAAATGACATTTAAGTATCAATGGAACATTTGAACCTATTTTTTAAAAATAATACGCCACTGAAATGCAGTACCGACTTTCATCAGAGAAGCTAACCCCTCTCCATTGTCCCCCACGACAGTTTTGCCGCTGTTGTGTCCACTTGGATACGTTCCCGGCGGAATGTGGGTCTCCTGGCAGGACATCGACAAAACAGGTTCCTGGCTTGGAGACGTCGCCGAATGGTAGGTCACTGACTGGTCGCTGGTGGTTTCCTGTGGTCACCCAAGCTGTTTCTCTGGCCCTTGCGAATAGGTCTTGCACGTGTTGATGGACGATATGACGGTCCTGGCGACGTGTTGTTACACGGGGTTGACCACTACGTGGACGGTCATCAGTGCTGCTGGTGGCGTTGTATCGCACTCTAAGAGGTTCTATCGTTCGTACGCTGCACCTGAAGTCATTAGCAATGACTCGAGCATGTTGACCAGCGTGCAAAAGGCCAATAGCTTGTTGTGGTTGATCTCTCGTTAACCTAGTCATAGCTGCTGTGTTCAGAACAAGTGAACTTTTTCCCTCTCCAAAAAACAAAAACATTTCTAACTTCAATCTCAATCAATACTTTATTGGGCAATGCAGGCTATACGACCACGATTCATGTTTCCTCAAACTTGACTTCTGGTGTATATTTTAAAAAATAGGTTCAAATACTCCATTGATACTCAAAAGTCATTTCTAATATTACGACGTTTCTTTTGCCTTTCAGTATATATATGTGTGTGTGTGTGTGTGTGTCTGCCACATACCCATCTCTTCCATTTAGCGTAGTTTATATGAGGTAGCCTAGTGATTAAAGCGTCCACCCGTCACGCCGACGTGTGAAGCCCATTTCTGGTGTTCCCCGCCGTGATATTGCTGGAAAATTGCTAAAAACGACGTAAAACCATGCACGCTCACACTCTCTCTTTCTGTGCGCTCTTCCGTTTTAGCGTGTGTTGTAGAAGGGGGTGGCCCTATACGCCATTAATGTGATGCATGTGCCCATTACATCGAAAACTACCCCATCTCACTTAATGTTTTAAGGGTTGATTTCGTCGGGCTTTGATCTTTTCGATAAATTTTCATTCACCCATCTATCTTTTTATTTTTATTTTAAACTATACACAAAGAAATAAGTTATATAGGCCCCGTATTTTTGCAATGATAGGTTCTCAACAGGTACATAAAACTTCTCGTGGTGACCACGATGGAAAAACATGGAGTTTGTCTAACCCGTATGATCCACTGAATGATAAAAAAACAACGAAATGATTGGAATCTATGTTGATTTTATGATGATAATTGCTTATTTACAAAAAAAAATCCGTACAAGTGTGGCCCTGGAATGTTTAATGTTGAATTTATTGGTGAATGTGAACATTCAAACTGTCATTTTGCGTGACTTACACGATTCAAGGTCAATACAGAGTGTAACCTCCATGTGACTGTATGACAGCCAGCACTCTCCTCCTCATACCCCCTGTCGGCCTCTGAAGGGCAAGTCTACGCCATCCCCCGTGTACAGCAGCTTCCAATTGGCAATATTTTGTACAGGAGGATTCCTATGTTGCACACGATGACCAATCATGTCTCAGATATGCTCCAAATGGTTAAGATCGGGGCTCATTCAATCGTAAGATATGTCAGGGGGTGCGTAACTATACTCAACAGCAAAACAAACGTCAGAACGAATTCAAAATCACAGGACCCACACTCTGGTTCAGGCCTATTCCACCCCATACCATGATGCTTGCACCTCCCCATGTGTCTCTTTCCATAATACATTGGTCTGAGTAACGCTGGCCACGTCGTCGCCATATTCTTGTTCTGCCATCTGCCATTGATACGCAGTACCGACTCTCATCTGTGAACAGAACAGTTCTCAATTGCCTGTATCGCCAGTTTTGTAGACGTTCACGCCGATGACGAGGGGTGAGGATAGGTCCACGGTAAGGTCTACAGCAATGGAGGTTCCCGCTGTTAAGACGTCGGCGTACTGTATCAGTACTGATTGGTCTTCCGTGTGTTCCCACTGTCTGGCGTGCTGTTTCGGATGCCTGCATGAAGGGATTCTGTACATGCTGTCGCACAACACTGCGGTCTTGTCGTCTTGTGGTCACCCTTGATCTGCCAGTACGGGGGCGATCATTTTTGGTGTTGGTGGCCCGGAAACGTTGCTGCAGCCAGTATATGGTCCAAACGTTGACCTGGAAGTGATTGGCAACGGCTTGTGCAGTGTGGCCAGCTTCGAGTCTTTCTAGCGCCTGGTTCCTCTGAGCTGTCGTGAGTCGCGGCATCCTGCTGTTTCAACCAGGTTTGGGGGTGCATTTTATAGGGCTGGTCTTGTGAACAGCACGTGCAGCATGAGTTGCATGAAAAAAATGGAGAACACCGTACCATCTCCGACATCAGGTTGCGTTTTTGAGACCATTTCCTGGGTTTCATTCTGAATTTTGGAAGGAATGTCTTTGCTCAGGTAAAGCTCGAGATGTTGTCAAAAATATACAATCAAAACATGAAATGAGTTTACAGTTATCCGTTTCTGCGAAGGAAAATTCAAAACTGACGTTTCTTTTGCTGCTTAGTATAATTTCTGTGTGAAAAGATTGATTAAAAGATATGGTAAGGTTTCCTTTGCTCGTCAGTTTAGGCCGGAAATCTTCAATATTCAAGCAACACCACGTCGGGGGCTTCACACATTGTGCCCATGTGGGGAATTAAACCCGGGCTTTCGGCGTGACGAGCCAACGCTTTAACCCACTTGACTACAGGAAGACAATCAAAAAGTTTACATCTTGTCCAATGCGCCTCAACTCGCTGTGCGTAAGATATCCTGTTCCAGAATGGATTACCCGTGACGTTTTACCATTTGTCGTTCTCAAGCAAACATTCGAGGAAGATCATGAACACTTAGATGAATAAATATTTAATTTATTTCGTTTTGTCATGATGCACTCTTACAATAACAATATTTCTTTAAATAAAAATTATCTATACATTTTGACTGTTCTCCATATCTGTTGATACGGCTGATGTCCCCGGCTAGGGTGTACCGTCCAGATGTTTCGTCCAGGTTGACCGTGCCTTCAAACAACCCTCCCCCTGGGGATGTCACAAAGGTCAACTGAAATGTCAACACTGCCTCAGTTCTGTTACCATAGTGAACAGTCCTGTTTATGACGTCATTCACGCTTTCCTCAAAACGAAGGACCCGTTTATTTGCACTCATCAAAACTGCTTCTTTAATTTCTTGGATTTCTAAAACTTCACAAAGATGGCCATAATAGAAGAGTTCTTCATTGATCTGATTTAGGATTTTCCTAGCAGCGTTGGTAACTGTAACTGACGTTACAGGCACATCTTGCCTTTCTAAACACATGCACCAATGAGGCAAGATGGCGGCAGTGTCACATGACCTGTCACGTGGTACTTCGCTGAACAGGCTGATACCTCGATCCGTCACACTAGCTTGTTTAACATTCCCACTGAAATACAAAATATCCTTAAGAGTTTCGTACACGTCAAACGGTGTCGTCAGTCTGTGAGAATTCTTCTTCATATTTTCAATCAAGCGTGGATATTTTTTCTTAAACCATCGAGGAAATACAAAAAATATGAACGGCAAACGCTCTTCAAGTTTTCCAACAAACGTGTTTCGTATTTCCCCGTAGCGGTTACCATGGTCACTGAAATAAATTAAAATCGTCTTTTCTAGAAGGCCGGTCTTGTGTACTCTCTGAAGGTACCGGAAGTGAGGGTCATCTGCTGCGCCTGCGTCGTTAACATTGTCGTGACTGAGCCTCGTTATGAATGAAAATCCAAATTGAGGCTTATCTCGGTAAAGTTTAGAGAAATCTTCAGTATATTTCAACACTATGTCCGTTTCCAACCTGTCTCCAACACAATTATGATCATGGTTCCAGACCGATTTATGTTTCTCCATCGCAATACTGAACACCCGGTTGTAATGGTCGGCCAGTGGGGGTATGTGGAAACCTCTCCTTTAAATATGTAAAAATAGCAATTTTAGGGGCATCTTCAGCATACAGAGTTCTATACCCACAATTCGAAAAGTTCTTCCATATAAAATTATAGCCATCAAAGGGTTTTTTGGACATAGTTTCATTCCAAGGTAGTTCGGCAACAAATTTCCCCGTCGTCATCGGTACAACGTTGACAAAAGTATTGTCAGCAACCTTAGTGTATCCTAACATTTCTATAGCTTCTAAATCCTCGAGGAGGTATTTTCTCGACAAGGGCATCTGGCGCATAAAATTTAACCTGGATACAGAGTCCACTCCGATCATTAAAACATTCATTATTTCCTTTGGTTGGTTTACCTTCACATGGCGTTTCAGGTTTTTCTCACATCTTTCATCCACAGCTTCTTTCGGAATAATCAAGGAATGGAAATTGGTGTTTATTGTACCCTCAGACTTGCTCATACAATAGATTCTTATAAACTCATCTGAAATTTCTATATCTTTGTTGAAGGTCTCTCCAAACTTGCCGTAATAAAACTGAAAATCGGACTGGTTTGTCCCTCTCGTGATTGGTTGATATTTACAGTACTTAAAGTCACCCTCATAGAAATGTCCAGTTGATTCGCAGGACGTTTCCATCTTCGTATGTAATGGACGGTTTTCCATAACACAGAATCTTTGATCGAAGACGAATCAGTTTTGAGATCGAGTTATCAAACGGATCCAGATTGGGTATACGACATGCTGGGGTGTCGACCAGGAAACCGCGAGGACGTGGTGGAGCCTGTGTGGCCATATCACCATATTCTTGTTCTGCCTTCTGCGGTTGATACGCAGTACCGACTCTCATCTGTGAACAGAACAGTTCTCCATTGCCTGTATGGCCAGTTTTGGTGTTGTAGAGGCAAACTGTAGACGTTCACGCCGATGACGAGGGGTGAGGATAGAGTCCACGGTAAGGCCTACAGCAATGGAGTTTCCCGCTGTTAAGACGTCGGCGTACTGTATCAGTACTGATTGGTCTTCCGTGTGTTCCCCACTGTCTGGCGTGCTGCTTTCCGGATACCTGCATGAAGGGATTCTGTACATGCTGTCACACAACATTGCGGTCTTGTCGTTTTGTGGTCACTCTTGATCTGCCAGTACAGGGGGCGATCATTTTTAGTGTTGGTGCCCGGAAACGTTGCTGCAGCCAGTAGATGGTCCGAACGTTGACCTGGAAGTGATTGGCAGCAGCGTATTGCAGTGTGGCCAGCTTCAAGTCTTTCTAGCGCCAGGTTCCTCTGAGCTGTAATGAGTCGGGGCATCCTGCTGTTTCAACCAGGTTTGGGGGTGCATTTTATAGGGCTGGTCTTGTGAACAGCACGTGCAGCATGAGTTGCATGAAAACATGGAGAACACTGTACCATCTCCGACATCAGGTTGCGTTTTTGAGACCATTTCCTGGGTTTCATTCTGAATTTGGGAAGGAATGTCTTTGCTCAGGTAAAGCTGGAGATGTTGTCAAAATATACAATCAAAACATGAAATGAGCTTACAGTTATCCGGTTCTGCGAAGGAAAATTCAAAACTGACGTTTCTTTTGCTGCTTAGTATAATTTCTGTGTGAAAAGATTGATTAAACGGTTTCCTTTGATCGTCAGTTAAGGCCGGAAATCATCAATATTCAAGCAATACCACGTCGGGGGCTTCACATTGTGCCCATGTGGGGAATTAAGCCCGGCTTTCGGCGAGACGAGCCAACGCTTTAACCACTTGACTACAGGAAGACAACCAAAAAGTTTACATCTTGTCCAATGCGCCTCAACTCGCTGTGCGTAAGATATCCTGTTCCAGAATGGATTACCCGTGACGTTTTACCATTTGTCGTTCTCAAGCAAAACTACATTGGAGGAAGATCATGAACACTCGGCTGAATAAATATTTAATTTATTTCGTTTTGTCATGATGCACTCTTACAATAACAGTATTTCTTTAAATAAAAATTATCTATACATTTTGACTGTTCTCCATATCTGTTGATACGGCTGATGTCCCCGGCTAGGGTGTACCGTCAGATGTTTCGTCCAGGTTGACCGTGCCTTCAAACAACCCTTCCCTGGGGAGGTCACAAAGGTCAACTGAAATGTCAACACTGCCTCAGTTCTGTTACCATAGTGAACAGTCCTATTTATGACGTCATTCACACTTTCCTCAAAATGAAGGACCCGTTTATTTGCACTCATCAAAACTGCTTCTTTAATTTCTTGGATTTCTAAAACTTCACAAAGATGGCCATAATAGAAGAGTTCTTCATTGATCTGATTTAGGATTTTCCTAGCAGCGTTGGTAACTGTAACTGACGTTACAGGCACATCTTGCCTTTCTAAACACATGCACCAATGAGGCAAGATGGCGGCAGTGTCACATGACCTGTCACGTGGTACTTCGCTGAACAGGCTGATACCTCGATCCGTCACACTAGCTTGTTTAACATTCCACTGAAATACAAAATATCCTTAAGAGTTTCGTACGTCAAACGGTGTCGTCAGTCTGTGAGAATTCTTCTTCATATTTTCAATCAAGCGTGGATATTTTTCTTAAACCATCGAGGAAATACAAAAATATGAACGGCAAACGCTCTTCAAGTTTTCCAACAAACGTGTTTCGTATTTCCCCGTAGCGGTTACCATGGTCACTGAAATAAATTAAAATCGTCTTTTCTAGAAGGCCGGTCTTGTGTATTCTCTGAAGGTACCGGAAGTGAGGGTCATCTGCTGCGCCTGCGTCGTTAACATTGTCGTGACTGAGCCTCGTTATGAATGAAAATCCAAATTGAGGCTTATCTCGGTAAAGTTTAGAGAAATCTTCAGTATATTTCAACACTATGTCCGTTTCCAACCTGTCTCCAACACAATTATGATCATGGTTCCAGACCGATTTATGTTTCTCCATCGCAATACTGAACACCCGGTTGTAATGGTCGGCCGGGGGTATGTGGAAACCCTCCTTTAAATATGTAAAAATAGCAATTTTAGGGGCATCTTCAGCATACAGAGTTCTATACCCACAATTCGAAAAGTTCTTCCATATAAAATTATAGCCATCAAACGGTTTTTTGGACATAGTTTCATTCCAAGGTAGTTCGGCAACAAATTTCCCCGTCGTCATCGGTACAACGTTGACAAAAGTATTGTCAGCAACCTTAGTGTATCCTAACATTTCTATAGCTTCTAAATCCTCGAGGAGGTATTTTCTCGACAAGGGCATCTGGCGCATAAAATTTAACCTGGATACAGAGTCCACTCCGATCATTAAAACATTCATTATTTCCTTTGGTTGGTTTACCTTCACATGGCGTTTCAGGTTTTTCTCACATCTTTCATCCACAGCTTCTTTCGGAATAATCAAGGAATGGAAATTGGTGTTTATTGTACCCTCAGACTTGCTCATACAATAGATTCTTATAAACTCATCTGAAATTTCTATATCTTTGTTGAAGGTCTCTCCAAACTTGCCGTAATAAAACTGAAAATCGGACTGGTTTGTCCCTCTCGTGATTGGTTGATATTTACAGTACTTAAAGTCACCCTCATAGAAATTATTCACCGTTGTCCAGTTGATTCGCAGGACGTTTCCATCTTCGTATGTAATGGACGGTTTTCCATAACACAGAATCTTTGATCGAAGACGAATCAGTTTTGAGATCGAGTTATCAAACGGATCCAGATTGGGTATACGACATGCTGGGGTGTCGACCAGGAAACCGCGAGGACGTGGTGGAGCCTGTGTGGCGATGACCAGTCGCTCACCAGGTCTGACCGAGACGACGGGAGTGATCCAACGCGCTACCATAATGGTTGCTATGGCGCCGGTAAGACTCAAGGCCAGGAAGAGTCGAATAAGCTTCCTCACCCGCGCCATGGGATAATCCTGGTGAAAGAGAAACAGAAAGAAACGTTAGACGTTGTCAGATATATAAGTAACATCGAAACAGGGGACATAAGGTTGTGTGTATTTGCTCTAGATACGCTGGTTGTGAGTTCGAATCCTGTAGATCCAACCTTGGTATATATCCTCACCACAACGTGTACCAGTCGGGTTTCACCAATGAGGTAAATATGACCTATAACTATATAGCCAGAAGGCTCTGAAGCTCACCTTATTTGTTTTCAGAACATTCGCAACATAAAAATATCAATATCAAGTGAAGGCCCAAAACAAGATTTTGCAAATAACCTTTCCACGTGCCATGAATTGTTCGTATTTTCAGCAATTGAACTGGACAGAACAACAAATATTTTAAGGTGTTTGGTTTCTTCCAGAGTGAAGGTGGAAGTGGGAAATCTAGTTAATGCCATTAAAAATACTTAAAAAACGAGCTTCGAAAGTTCTCGGAGTCTCCTAACTAGCTGGAGAATATTGTCCTTTGGCGGAACGATTAAGATAAGCACGTGAAGAACATATCAAAATCACGTAGGGTTGATAAATTACAGTTTTTAAAGAAATCAAGCCAGCAATTGTTAAACGGCCTTCAGAAACTATGTACATGTCAGTAAAAGTCTTGAAGAAATACCTTGAATCTGAAACTAATATTGCACCATTATGAACAGAATAATAGACATATCTTTAAATGTAATGAAATTGCAAAACTCAAACCACTATATAGTTGACGTAATGACTTGTTTTTACGTCGGAGAAAGATGGCATTGAAATCTTCATCTAAATTCCGCCAATTGTATAAAGTTGGTTTGTCAGTCAGTCAGTCGTTCTTTCGTCAGAACGTGAAATAATTCATTTTACCATTCAAATAAAGTCCAGAATAGATAAGCAATTACATAGTTTGGTCGTGTTTCTGTTTAATTTAAAAATGAAAAAGAACATTTCAAACCACACGAATAAATTTGTTAGCAGAGGTGTGAACATAAATAGCAGCTACTGTACAAGTTAACCTTCTCTGACAGAAACACCACAGGCATGAGCAGGACCTGGCCCCCTGCATTAGTCACCACACTGTATGTGGCACGACGGGCGTGTACACAATATGTAACCTTCATCAGTATGTTAGATGATAAATGACATATTCACCTTTACGTGTTCAAACCGGAGCGTCAGCGTAGCATACCCACGAAACCTGGCTGAGCACACATGACCAATTCGTGTAACTCCGGGACAAGCCGGAAGCTTTCTAAGAGATGTACTGAATACTCCAATGCAATATCACGGTTTAGAGATGTGTGGATATTTCATATTTACCTTAAGAGTTAATGAAGGCAATCCGTTCTATTTCATATGCAACCCTGGAAAGTTTCTTTCAAACATTCAAGCTTCAAGTCTCACGGAACACTGGCACCGAATAGGATTGACTACAAACTAACATCAGAGGTAACACATGTTGTTTTAATTACGAGATACAAACAGCAACGTGTCCCATTGTTTAACTGTCTCCTGTATAGGGCAATATCGTTTCCCGGAATACCGTTCAAAGCGCGTGAAAACCAAGCTTCGCAATTATCTGATAATTACTCGGAGGATGGAATTTAAAAACCGCATATATATATGGTCACTGATATCTGTTTTTCATCAAATTACCAATGGTAATTGTAAAACGCCCTCGATAAACACAGAATATAGTTTCCCGTAATACCGTTCTAAGCGGCGTAAATCCAAGCAACGCGATTATCGGTTAATTACTCGGAAGATTGAATTTTAAAAATAGAATATAATGATCACTCATCGATATCTGTTTTCAACAAATTGCCAATGATAATTATGAAACGTCACCGATAAACTTAGCATCTGTTGGTATGTTTTGGAAAATACACGAACACGAACGCCGAAATGATCTGTCCGCATATTGGATAGTGTTCACAAAATCACGTTATGCGAAGGCCGGTCATGAGCCCATAAATAGCTATTATATCACGTATATTTCACACTCAGCTGAAACAAGTACTTTACTGAATTCCCGTAGCTAAAGTAGTTCCGTTCTTAAATTACACAGAAACCATCCGTCTTCATCGCTTCATTTCATGACGTAACTGACTGACTGAGTTTAGTTTTACGCCGCTTTTAGCAATATTCCAGCAATATCACGGCGTGGGACACCAGAAAATGGGGCTTCACACATTGTACCCGTGTGGGGAATCGAACTCGGGTCTTCGGCGTGACGAGCGGACGCTGTAACCACTAGGCTACCCCACCGCCCACATGACGTAACAATCTCAATATCTCAAAGGAAAACTCCTTAGATAGCCTGGTTGACTTTTAGGAGGTTTACTATAAAGAAACATCTACCAGAGGACGCACATACTGTGTTATAATTAGGGGCGGTGGGGTAGCCCTAATGGTTAAAGCGTTGGCTCGTCACGCCGAAGACCAGGTTCGAATCCCACATGGGTACAATGTGTGAAGCCCATTTCTGGTGTCCCCGCCGTGATGTTGCTGGAATATTGCTAAAAGCGGCGTAAAGCCAAACTCAGTCAGTCAGTGTTATAATTACGCTGAACACATCAGTGTGTCCCATTGTTTTACTGTTTCCCGTAACTCTACATTGGTTCACGGAACCCAAGCTACGCACTCGTGCTTGAATGGTTGGAGTCAAGTATTGATGTGAGACCATCTCGGAGATAAGTAACTGGAAACTTGTATAAGTTCTACACTTTCTGTCTACTAGCAGGTCGTATTATGGTTCACACAAGTAGGTTGTGAGTGAGTGAATGTGTTTAGTTTTACGCCCTACTCAGCAATATTCCAGCTATATGGCGGCAGTCTGTAAATAATGGAGTCTGGACTTGACAATCCAGTGATCAACAGCATGACCATCGATCTACGCAATTGGGATACGATGACAGTATGTGTCAACCAAGTCAGTGAGCTTGACCACCCAATCCCGTTAGTAGGACAAGCATGGGTTACATTTGCAGGTTGCGTTGAAGACAATCCCAAGAAAAATGTAATACTTTACATGTCATGCTATATTTGGCATACCTATGCAGAAGGAGAAATCCATTTTTCTTATAAAGGTTCACGTGGTACCTAAGGTCACCCAGCCTTCGAGCTTCATTCAATGACTACCTTTAATTAAGCAAAATGGGCAAATTGTGAGAGAGAAACGTTCACTACGATGATGTTGACAACCCCCTCCCACTCAGTGGTCGCTAGGAGACACATACACATAGTGATTATAACATGGAATGTGGACTTAATACATTTCCTTCTTGAGTTGAACAACGAATCGTTCTGGAGAGGTCACTTTGATTCCTAGGAAAACTGCTTTGTGAAAACGACATCCATTGACAATTAGCTTCTATCTATTTCATTAACGGTAAAATCAATGACAACCTTGTCTTTATCTAGTTCCTAGTCTGGGGTCTACAATGAGTTGGGACATTAACATTTAATGACATTAAGGAATTTCTAAATGTTGAACTCCATACACCACTATGGCATTGCCTGTGGTGAATGGTCTCCTTACCTTTGTTTATAAATGCTCTGTGTAGAGCTGTTAAGCACTGGCTGAAATTCATTGAGACGTTTGATGGTAGGAAACAACGTGGTCTTATATAATAATAATTCTGGATATAATAATAATGCGTCATATACTCGATCTTTGGTATTTGATTTAGTGCGGTAATCTCAGTCAGGTGGTGATAAATTTGCATTTCTTTGGGTATATAAAGATGGACTTATAAATATTTATTTTCAGTCCTGGAATAGCACATTGAACAATCGTTCACAACTTTGTTAGAGCCATATAATATATGTCCATATCAGGCAAGAAACATCGTAACATCGCTTATCACAATTCCAGCCGAATTGCTGAGACTAAATGCATATGGCGCTGGGTGGTTAGGATTAAAGTTATCACAACGCATATGTATGTAAACTTGACAAAGAGGTTATACACACAGGCACATACACAGACTTATTCTGTAACTATTTAAATGACATCATGGAGTACTACTTGCCGGAAGTATATTGTCAACACCCACCCTGAATATATGTTTTAAAACGCTCTTATCTGGGAATTGTGAAACATGGTAAAAGCACTAATAGATTCGTGTCGCTAAGCCATGCTAAGAGATAGTTATTGTGTGTTAATATTTCATGTATATACATTCATGTGGCCTTCACACAAAACATCTACAAAATATAGAATAGTAATAAAAATGGAGACGTCACAAGTGGCCTTCTGTCGTCACAAAACCAAGGTCTTGGCTCCACAAAATACAAGAATAGTATTATATAAAAATGGAGACTTTTTTCAGTAAAATATGTCATTTCAGAGACCTGCCCTACCCCCTCTAGCCAGGAGACATGGGGATGGAGTGACACTTTTACAGTTTTCACACAAAATACATGTGTTTAAACACGTGAATTATGATACACACAGATACAGATGTTGTATTGATACAGATATATTTACGGCAAACATATGTATTTACGTTTTTCCTTGACAGTGTTTAATTGAACTTGAAAAACAACGAAAATATAAATATAACACTTTGATACAGAAAAGATGTTTGAATCCAGGAATTATAGATATATTAGACATGGTGATTCTTTGAATTATCTTGCAATAAAATATGGACTCTGTAAAGTCTTACGTTGTGTCTCATACGGGAACACAGTTTATAGTAACGGTTTCTTTTATTGGCTCGGCTGTTCGTATTCTGTCTCCCAGTCCCTCATATTATTTTCCCTACTGCCTAGCCTTCACTGCAATGCTGAAGCCGTAAGTGAAGCAAGTCTAGATTTCCTCTGAATTTCCCTTCTCACTGGGGCTCCTTTTCAATTCAAATGGGTTTATTTGTTACAAGTACAATATATTCAGAGAATATATGTGGGGTGGGGTGTGTGTGAGAGAGATCCGCCCATGAAATATATCCAACAAAGCCAAAGCTAGTCAGTTTCTCTGAAAGTGATGAAAGTCTCTGGGCTCCTTTTCATTCATTATAGTTTACGATTATTATTTATGAACCCTTTTTGCTGTAAAATATGTTCATTTCAGAGACGAGATGTTAGCGTAGGAGTCCAATCACTTCTCACGACACTAATACCTTGAAGAATGTGTTCCATCATACTCATCCTCTGACCTAATGAGCATCCTTGTCCTGAACCACGGACAAAGATATTAACGGACGGTGTTTCATAATGACTCTTACAGAAAATTGATCCCGTTTAATCTAATTCTCTGAGCATGTCAGGAAGACAATAAACAGGCAAGACGATAGAAAAGTCCCGCTCCACGTGCGATCAGCATTAGAAGAAAGGCTTTCTTACACAGAGATTAATGTCGGTATAGGTATGATAATACATGACAGTACATGGGCATATCGATACCCACATCCTGATGCTTATAATTCATATTGTTGATATACAGCCCTGGGTTGTGGATGTGGGTTCAACTGTGTATGGATTTAAGTAATCAAGAATAGGCTAACTCTGGCTAATCCACGCGTGCGCCTGCACTATACAGCTCAACGATTACTGGCAGAGCCAAATAGTGCAAAGTTGTAATAGATGTAACGTAACAATTGTAAAGGACGGTTCATAATAATCAAGAAACAGTTACTAAAGGGATAGTTACCTGAATATACCATGAGTTTATCCCAGTTTCCAATGGAGTCCTTCCGTGTGTCTGAGCGCCTCGTGTTATCAAACAGCGTCCGAGACCCAAGTTACTGATAACGCCATGGTGATGCCGTGTCGGATTTCAAAATCACCATTCTCAGCAACCGAAGTTCCGAATTCCACGATCGCGCCTACCTTAAAGTGTACTAACTTTTCAAAAGTGAAAAGTTTTGTTAAAAACACTGCTTAAAATTGTGAGAATAACTAAATCTCCTCGTTCCAAGACGATCGCCTACTTTCGTCTGGCCATTGTGTAGCGTGTGTTTGGCAGCGAAACCTAAAAGAGGTTATATACATGATGTTTACGGGGTGCCGTGCCATAACAGAAGGGAGGTAACTCGTGTTGGCTTGTGTAACTTGGAACATATGGTTGCCATCTGTTTATTAGACAAGGCGTTACATGTGGCAGTGATTCCCACCTATTGTGTGAACCTACTCCTGTGTTCATTTACATGTTAATTGCTAAAATATGCTTACTGTCGCTTAACGATGTCTGGTTAATTTCAGTATTGTTAATTAATACACATTAACATGTCCACACATTAAATGGATACATGCACTCAATGTTCGAAAATATTCTCGAACAAATCTAATGATTGCACAGCTTCACGAAACGTTCAGTTACTGACAGGTTAATTGGCTGTAGTAAGTAAATGCAGGCATCGTATTTGCAGCAGGACACTAAATCATTTCAATCACAAGTCCCAATGGTGCTACTTCCAGATATTGAGCTGGGTCCGGATCCACAAAACGTTCGTAGAGCTACGACATTCGTAAGCCTATCATTAACTATAGAGTTACGACAGGTCGTAAGCCTATCATTAACTATAGAGTTACGACAGGTCGTAACGTTACGAACGGTTTGTGGAAAGGGACCCTGCTCTGTTGGATGAGATACAGTCTCAATTGGTGTAGCGCTCAGCAGTTATGGCGGAAATTAACTTTACTGTTAAGTTTTGATGGTTGAATACGAGTTTTAAAATAACTAACTAGTTCGATAATGTTGTCCTTGAAAAAATATTTCTCGGGTATTATTCCTGAACGATCGTTCTGTCGTCGCAGGAGACGCTATTGCAGATGGTCCATGTTGGCAACTTCGCTTTTGTGTAGTGATGAGCAGGTGTAGGCTTTCATGCTTCTCCAAAGCCTTTGTGACATAAACAAGTAATTGTCATTCTTTCTGCTACTTTTGTATATGATAACAAAGAACGTGTACTACATCTTCTTTTCTTATCGGTTATCATGATATTGAAAACAAGTACGAAATGCCCTGCAAATGTTCGATTGTGACACAATATGATTTCATACAGGATCACTGATGGAAACATGTCTACAGTGTATATCAGCTTTATATAAACTTTCAGTGTCCTTTTGTCCATTCAAGCTATTTTTCGAGTGATATTCATTATTTAAATGAAACAAAGAAGTTCGTTGCCTTTACAATTTTATATGTATATCTCTCATAATTGCAATGCCATAAAAGGTCGTCAGCAACTTTATTTCCATATATGTAAAAGAACAAGTGAAGTTTGGGCCATGTGGCTCTATTAGAAAGTGAGATTTGATCGAATGCACAAGCGCGTTAACCAACGTGATGATTTTAACTCCTCATCGCGCAAATATGGTTGTCTCCCCTCGGTGGTCGGTTATTTCCGTGACAGTCCGGTAATTTGCGAGTGAAAAACAAAAATGGCCGCCTCTTGGATTGAGAAAGTTGGCGAAGTGTAAAGATGACTTTATATTCAAGTATTGGTAAGATATATTTGAGGATCAATGGCCTACTTTTGGAGATTTGCCATTTGTCTTTATTTTGACTGTTCTTTGTATTATTTGACTTCATATTTGTTAGTAAAATTGGATTTGTTATAACCAACCGTCTCGTGCTTGCGATTTTACAAGTCTGTATTCTGAGCACACTACCGGATCAGTTTTGTCGAAATGGACCCAGAAATCGGGAAATGTATATCGTGCATAGTCCATATTTTGAAAAACATATCATTTATAAGGACATTGATACAGTTGCTTATGAAGCATTGCGCCCCATATAATTTCTCCAAAACAATATTAGCTTGCTCAGGAACCCCCGTGTGCTGACATTCTCTCATTGTTTGCGTTTCGCCAAAAACGGTGAAGAAATCGCTATTTGTCATTATCTAACGTGTTCATGGACATCTTTTAACGTTCAATCACAGGCTTTGTGTTTATATGATCCTTATTGTCAAACCTGAGGATATAAAGTTTCCTGAACGTGGAGAAATGTAAACAGTAAGTGATACTGATAGAAATTGGGTCCGAAATTCGCACTTTCCCCAAAGTTAAGCTATGTTAAGAACTAGCTAAACCAGCGATTTTAAAGTTATTTTAATATATGTTATAATAAGAGAGACTAGTTTAACTCAATGTGCAACTGAAACTGTATTTGAGATGTGCAACTGGGTGCTGTCATGATAGTGACATGTTAGAAGACAGTCCAATATACAATTGACGTGCAATATCATGTGATGAATGCTGACTGATGCCCCGAATTAGGGTTGAAACTTAGTGACATAAATAGAAACAATACATGACAGCAATAACATAATCTAGGAGCTTTGTGTATTTATGCTGTCAGGGGTAGAATCAAAGTAACCAGTGAACAAAGCATAAATACAACATTAATCATGTTAAAAATACAACAACATTAATCATGTTCATTATACAACAACATTTATCATGTTAATTATCCTGCAACATTTATCATGTTAATCTTTGTTACAAATATATGGTGCCATTTTTACTGGAGCTTCAGTAACCTTTTCACAGAAACTGTTGGTTATTCAAACATTTTTAACAGGATTATCATGATTATATGTGTAGTCTGATATTACAAACATATAAAATAATATGGTTGTTTAACTGTTTAACACTGAGTCTTAAAATTTTATATGTCTAACTTCATGTATTCATAATGTTTTTTAAGTTCCTGAAATTTATGTTAACAGCATCAATACAACCATTTGAACCAAATACACCATAATGGACTTACAAGTTCTAGACATTGACACTATCATTGACTGGTCCAAGACTAGATACTACTAAAAGACTAATTGTTTACTTTTACATGTTCCAGAATCTTGTTACTGTGTATGAACCACTAGTCTTACTACAGTTGTTTGCTGGTTTAAAGAATGCCACGAACCTTCCTCTGCTTGCTCTGGCCAAATCAAAGACACTTTTTTAGTTGCTGGAGAAACTTTGGAAATTTCTATCGATAATATGAGCCATCTAATTCTTTGTGTAAGGAGCCAACTATTAGGACTGCATGGCATTACCGGTATATTGCAAACTATATGTATTGCAACATTTTTTCTGATAACGGGTTCACAGGGTAAAGAAAATATATGAAGTTTTTGTGATTATCTTTATGGTTTAAATTAAAATCTACACAGACTTTCATTCACAACAAATCTTTTCCTTCGTTATTCAATGACAAAAACGGCATGCTGTAACCCGAGAAATTGTATAAAAAAGGAAATAGAATCCATGACTATGAAACCTAATTTTGAGATTGCTGTCATCAGAACCATAACATATATGTTTAGGTATTTAGAATGTAGAAAATAGGATTGACATGTACAATTAGTTGCACTTACTGTCAAACACTTAAGCTCCCAATATATCTATAGAACGTCATACTAGAAGATATCATGGGAGCAGAGAAACATGCAACGAGTTCAAAGAACCAGTTGTTTCTCTGCTCGTATGACATCTTAGAGTTCAATACAAAACATCCAAATGCACTAGTATGACATTCTATATTTATTATATACCCTCTTATCTTGCATTAATTTGTTACTTAATAAAACAAATCATTGCATAGCGATACATATTTTCACGCCTCTCGATACTTCCTCATTCGGGTTAGTTTTATATTAAGTATCACTCCGAGCGTGGGCTGGTCACGCAACTAACCTAGATCATACATTCTTCTGCTGGACGTCATGAGTCAAGTCCCACTTTCACAACTTACCATAGGCAAAATAATGACACCATTCTAATGAAATTCATTCATGTTTTAATACATGCAAACTTGTGTGAAGGAACAATCAAGCCATTCGACTTTTATATCAATCTGTCAAACAATAAACATTTCATAAAGTTAGCTGGGAAACCCATTACCTACATATTAGGTCTAAATTTAGTGGTTACGGAAAATCCTGGAAAGTGCCGAGCTTTGGGGGAAGGTAGAACCGGTAGGGATTCAATATGGAATCTGGGGTGCAATACAGAATTTGACGTCATCCGTATTGCACTCCTGTATTAGTTTACTACCCTAAGTTTACATGGGTTTATGATAAATCACAATCCATATCGCAATACACGTACACTACCTAACTCAGAGTATATTGCAATACAATTGAAATATATATTAATCTTGTGTGGCCTCACTGATTGTTTAATTGATCTGACTTATTGCAAGTTAACTGCATGGGTCAGAGTTCATGCTATCAAACACTTCTTTCCACATGAGGTAAGGGTCTGTGTGCAATGGGTCATCTTTGTTATGTTGAACTTGTACGTGTAAAATGGTAAAAGTAGACTTACTCACCTTGTTATGCATGTCATTGTATCCCAGTTGCACTGATTGACCTCATGATTACAGTGACTGGATTGTGTTGCCAGACTTGATCATTTACTGACTACCGTCATACAAATGGGAGATTGTGTAGTGCAGCTTATAACAAACAAACAAAGAACTTGTTACTCTATTTTGTGGTAGTTAGGCTTAAAGGCACTATGTCACACAATACTTCTCTACAAATAATGCATTTCTCTCAATAATACGAACTATCAGCCCTGGGGGAAGCTACCATATAATTTATTCCCAACAAAATTACATGTGTAGATACAATATTGAATTAAAAAGTTCGATTGAATTAATGCAACATTGCATTAAATCAACTATCTTGCCCTGTACCTGCCGAAAATTATTTCAAGTGAACCCCATAGAGTTATGTCCCTTGGAGTCCTCTTTATGAATATCCTACGCACAAGTTGTGATTGAAACCAGTTTGGCAAACACCGACAACACTGTGTGCAACAGTTTTCGATGTATGGAGCAATTGTTTATTGGCAAGTGTTCTCTGTTTGGAAGCTGTTTACCTCGAAATTTCAATTATCGATGTCAGGCAAATTATAAGGGATAATAAGTCTTTTATTGCATCGATAGGAAGCTTTAGTGAGTGTATATGCCCCAATATATATAATGTAGGCCAAAATATTGTCGAAAATGTGTGACATTGTGCCTTTAACCTTTATGTGATGTACACCAATGGCTCTGTTCTGTCTGTGTTGTAATACACAAACTAATCAACTCATTTGTTGTGATACATTATATCTCCAATAGACTATACATCATAGCTTGTCATGTCAGACAAAATATGGTGTCATTGTTTTGGACGGTTTGTTAAGTTATTAACAACCGCAGTAATGTTGGGAATTGGTTAAAATTTCATAATTGATGATATGTTCATTACAACCGATCAATCATCGTAAATAATCGGTAAACGTCATTTATCAAATTTACCTGATTATGTTTGTTAATACACACGTAATAAGAAAAAACATGTAGTTCTTTTGAGGTTTTTCCAAATTACACAAAATGCATTTGCAAATTTCACATCTTTCAAGGATGACTAGTATGTTAGGAATATAAATTTCCATAAAGTCTTTAAGATAAATTCAATCATGACTTGGAACGAGCTTTTAGTGCTTATGAAATGTAACAGACAAAACAAACCTTGTGAAAAATATTGTTAATGTAAACAAGTCTTCCAAAATGTTTGTGTTCGATTATGAGAAAACATGATCGATTGCTTGGTCGCTTAGTCACAGCAACAAATCTTGGATTATTTCAATTAATCGGGCCACCACTAAACAGCCGTCATCATGATCGCCTGTCTCAACAACAGGGTTCGGGTTGGTGGGGTAGCCTTGTGATTGAAGCATTAACTCGTCATGCTGAAGACCCAGGTTTGATTCCCCACATGGGTTCAAATTACACTGTGTGAAGCCCATTGCTGGTGTTCCTGCCTTGATATTACTTGAATATTGCTAAAACTTAAAGCGGCGTAAACCCAAACTGACTCACTCGCAACAGGGTTCACCTGTCTCACCTTCTTGGTTTAGCTTCAGCTGACACTTGCTAGGTACCAGTGATTTGTGATGTAAGGACTTGATTCGTGGGGGCCAGGCAGATGGTATAGGTATCTGGTTCACGGGTCTGGGAGACAGGAAGGTTCTGAGCTTAACTATGATGGCCTGTGTTAATTTAGTTGGTTTCTGAAGTATACTTTCAAGATGGCAGAATCCTTCTGGTAGATCTGAGGTCCATGTACTTCTGCCAACAATGCTAGGGTGGCAGAATCGTCAGTATTCATCAGGTTTGCACCATCAGATTTCATGTGTAGTAGACTTAGCCTAGTTACCATTGATCGCAATGCAAGACTGTTGAATCCCTTGGAACTAATGAAACATCGTCAGTATTCATCAGGTTTGCACCATCAGATTTCAGTCTTCTTCAGTCCAAACTTGGAAAAAAGGATTTTTACACTAAAATAATTAACAACCGATCCATCAACACAGAACATCATTGTTAAGGTCAAACCTTTTTCAGCTGTTCCCCATGCTATATAAGGCTCTGAAGATCAAGTGCAATGACTTTGTGATAATTGCATGTGTGCCTGTTAAGCACAGGGATTTACAGGAAGCGA